CTGTTGTCCAGTTTTCAAAAGTGTGCGTTTGTAATTGTTTCTTTCAAATTTTGTTTTATTTTCTGTTTGAGTTGGCTTAATCAGTAACTTTAATTTGATCATAATTTGAAAATATATTTAATATAAACTCCAAATATTTAAGTTTATTTATGGTCTGATATACTAAAATATCTGAGTTTATAAACTCAGAAAATATGAGGCAACTGATTGCCTTACATTTTTTGAGTTCTGCGTACTTATTCGGGTTTACAGTGTACGAACTGTAAAGATTTTGTGGTGTCAGAGTTCACCTAACAGTTCAAGTGTTCATTTTTTTGCTTTGTGTGTTCACAGGGCATGCTCAGTTGAAGTTTCCATCTCTGCGCGTTCAAGATGTAAGAAAAATAACACGAAAGAAATGCAACAATGAAAACTTCAAAAAGGCATCAACAACCAAGCAAGTGGATCCATAAAATGGACTGATTTTTTAAAGGCATTTTTAAAAAGTCTTTCAAAATGGACAGAATTAACGCGTCATGTTCAGAACAGTTTGCGTTCTCATCTTTGATTAATCCTGGTAAACAGGTCTGTTTTTGTTCTGTTCTAATTCTCTCTGTTTAATAAATTTAAACAAAATGACTTAGCTATTTTATTTAATTTTTTTTCTCTGCATAAAGACGAAGTATCAGTAAATAGTGGAAATTAAATGTATTGGTAGTAAGCAAATAGCAGATGTTAAATGTTACTTGCAGTATGTGTTTATAGAAAAAATAGAGATACTTAAATGTACTAAAAGAATATTATGTCAAGTTTACTGTAAAGTGTACTTTCAAAACTGTAAGTATACTCAATTATATAAGAAGTACACTACAAGTAAACATATATAATTACTTTAAGTATAATTTTAAGTATACATTCAAAGAGAAAAGTATACTCAATTATTTCAGAAGTACACTACAAGTAAACTTATAATGTTACTTAAAGTTTATTTTTAAGTATACTTTCAAGGGCAAAAGTTTACTCAATTTTATTAGAAGTAAACTTATACTGTTACTTTTAAGTATACTTTCAATGAGAAAAGTATACTCAACTATATCAGGAGTACACTACAAGTAAACTTATATTGTTACTTTTAAGTAAACTTCCAAGGAGAAAAGTGTACTCAATTATATCAGAAGTACACTACAAGTAAACTTATAAGTATACTTTCAAGGAGAAAAGTATACTCAACTATATCAGGAGTATACTACAAGTAAACTTATATTGTTACTTTTAAGTATACTTCCAAGGAGAAAAGTATACTCAATTATATCAGAAGTACACTACAAGTAAACTTATAAGTATACTTTCAAGGAGAAAAGTATACTCAACTATATCAGGAGTACACTACAAGTAAACTTATATTGTTACTTTTAAGTATACTTCCAAGGAGAAAAGTATACTCAATTATATCAGAAGTAAACTTATAAGTATACTTTCAAGGAGAAAAGTATACTCAATTATATCTGAAGTACACTCCAAGTACACTTGTGAGGTTACTTTAAGTATACTTTCAAAGAGAAAAGTATACTCAATTATATCAGAAGTACACTACAAATAAACTTAAATTATTACTTTGAAGTATACTTGTAGTATACTTCAAGTATACTTTTAGCGGCCCAATTTAGTCCCAAGGAGTATACTTTGAAGTAAACTTTAAGAACAAGTATGCAAATAAACTTCTGTACACTTAAGTATACTTGAAATTAGATACTTAAAGTATACTTCTTTTTCGTAAGGGGTCAAGATGGGATCCAAAGAGCTGTCACTATCAGTGAAGCAAGCCATCATTAGGCTGGAAAAAAAAAAGAAACCTAACAGAGAGATAGCAAAAACATTAGGCGTGGCCAAAACAACAGTTTGGAACATTCTCAAAAAGAAGGAGCACACCGGTGAGCTCAGCAACACCAAAAGACCACGGAAAACAACTGTGGTGGATGACCGAAGAATCCTTTCCCTGGTGAAGAAAACACCCTTCACAACAGTTGGCCAGATCAAGAACACTCTTCAGGAGGTAGGTGTATGTGTGTCAAAGTCAACAATCAAGAGAAGACTCCACCAGTGTGAATACATAGGGTTCACCACAAGATGTAAACCATTGGTGAGCCCCCAACACAGGAAGGCCAGATTAGAGTTTGCCAAACAACATCTAAAAAAGCCTTCACAGTTCTGGAACAGCATCCCATGGACAGATGAGGCCAAGATCAACTTGTACCAGAGTGATGGGAAGAGAAGAGTATGGAGACGGAAAGGAACTGCTCATGATCCTGAGCATACCACCTCATCAGTGAAGCATGGTGCTGGAACTGTCATGATGTGGGCATGCATGGCTGCCAGTGGAACTGGTTCTCTTGTATTTATTGATGATGTGACTGCTGACAGAAGCAGCACGATGAATTCTGAAGTGTTTCGAGCAATATTATCTGCTCATTCACAGTGCAGATGAACAATGACCCAAAGCATACTGCAAAAGCAACCAAAGAGTTTTTGAAGGGAACGAAGTGGACTGTTTTGCAATGGCCAAGTCAGTCACCTGACCTGAATCCGACTGAGCATGCATTTCACTTGCTGAAGACAAAACTGAAGGGAAAATGCCCCAGGAACAAGCAGGAACTGAAGACTGTTGCCATAGAGGCCTGGCAGAGCATCACCAGGGATGAACCCCAACGTCTGGTGATGTCTATGTGTTCCAGACTTCAGGCTGTAATTGACTGCAAAGGATTTGCAACCAAGTAATGAAATGTATAAGTTTGATTTATGGTTCTTATTCTGTCCCATTACTTTTGGTCCCTTAACAAGTGGGAGGCACATATGCAAACTGTTGTGATTCCTACATCGTTCACCTGATTTGGATGTAAATACCCTCAAATAAAAGCTGACAGTCTGCAGTTAAAGCACATCTCGTTTGTTTCATTTGATATCCATTGTGGTGGTGTATAGAGCCAAAAATGTTAGCATTTTGTCAATGTCCCAATATTTATGGACCTGACTGTATATGTCTAGATTATAAATGCAGGCACACCATCAGCCTGTGGAGAAATGACAAATTAACGTACAGACACATCTGAGGCACACAAAATGCTAAAAAGGTTTAATTAAAGTTTAATTTATTATAAATGAATAAATATTCAGATGAAATAAAATTAGGACCAATGTTCAGTACTTTCCTCTGTTATCACTGTTTCCTTTAGCTTAAAGGGGAACTAAAACTTGCAGTTATTCCTCCTCTTAGAAGTTGGAAACGATAGAAACTTTGTTTCATTTCCTGGTAACAAAAGTCACATTCTCCTCAGAGGCTGATCACTATCAGCACACCATGCAGGCTGCTCAGAGTAAAACTCATTATTATGGACGCTGTGGTTGGACTGCTGCTGATTGGAATCTCACTAAGATTGTAAAGTATTTCCATCATCTTCAACCATTAAACAGCTGCATTTAAATTTAATTTGTTGTGTTATTTGAATTTATCATTTAAATTCAGCAAAACTGTGTAAATATGTTGCATTTAACCATTTATTTTAGGTTGAATAATTGTTTTAAATCTGATCTTATTGTCGTGTTTCACTGTAAAATCTCTTTATTGTTTTTTCCAGCTGTAGAAACTTTCTGTGACGGCAGACAGGATGGAGCTCAGGGTGTTGGAGCTTTAGGAGGAGCTGTGGACATCCAGCTGGTGGACAACACTGCAGAGATACCCGGATTAGACTGGTAAAAGGATGGTTCAAATGTAGTCTGGTGGAGAAATAAAAGTACTGTAATACAACTATCATAAGGGTCAAGAGTCATTTTTATTCCCAGTACTGGAACAGTTGGGATCAATAACCTGATCAGGGATGACAGTGGAAAATATGACCTTGGGACCTTTAATTCAGACGGACATTCAACAAGAGAAAGTACTCTACTGTTGTTTGTTCAAGGTAAACAACTGTTGTGCTTTCCCTTGGAAACTTGTTATTAAAACTACGAAAGATGAAAAGATGTGTCAGACACAACGTAGAAAATGGAGAAATTACAGCAAGCATATTTTTGTTTTTGTCTGCTTGTGTACAGAAAACAGCACATTCTTTACACCATTTTGCACATAATCATATTTAAATTGGGGTTTTAGGAAATTGGCACCCGTATACGAATTTGGACATTTTTTGTTTCGGCTTTTTAAAGGAAGGTTTTAAAAAGACCCAAAGTTGACACGAGCATCTGGCTGCAGACATCAGCTGGCGTCTTTGCCGTGACCGGAAATGACGTAAACGGAAAAACAAGACATCGGGTCATTACCTTTGCCGGAAGTAGTTTGGATTTGACGAGAAAACTACACTGTGTCGTTTTTCTCTTCGATATGTATATAAACATATACATATCGAAGAGAAAAATTATACGGTGGGTCATTACCTTAACCAGAAGTCATTACTTTCACTGGAAGTAGTTTTTTAAAAACAAAAATGACCGAAAAAAGCTTTTTATTTCGGATTTTTTTCTCTTCAAATCTGGACTGGCAAACTTTTAAATAACGTCGTTACCTACGTTGCATGAAAAGTGAATATTAAATCCCTTTGTCCTTCAGACAGGAATTTTTTTATGACAGTAGCATATATATATATATATATATATATATATTTACAGCAATAATAGGCTGTAAAGTGAATAAAAAGAAAAATGGAAAAAATGAGAACACATTAAACTAAGACTTTTCAAGATGTGCAAACAAAATAGTAGTTGCTTAATATTCAGCTTTATTGTTAAGCCCAAGATGAACTTTTGACCTGCACCAATTGCTAAAGTACAGGACTCCCAGAAGCAGTGAAAAACATTTCAGCAACACTCCTCTCTCACCAGCAACAAAAATGTATTACTAAATATCCATAACACTGTCCTATATGTGTATCACAGCAGCTCATTGCAACAGAATTTAAAGACTACAGCTGATAACTATTTAGCTAGTTGGTATTTATTTTGAGTGAAAGACAATAAAACCAAAGAAACACTTAATTTCACAACCATTTTATTTTGGGTACAAATGAATTTGCTGATGCATGGCTTTCTCAGCTGTATATCGATTCATCCACTCCCATTTTTCCAACACTTTTATTGTCACCTGAAAAACATGCAGGATTAATTCATACACTGTCAAATGTTTTCAAAAAGTAACTTTTATACCAATCACTGCTGAAGACAGCGTTGTACCTCTGGAACAAGGACATCAAACACCAAGTCCAGAAACTGGAACTCTCCCTTCTTTGTTAGTTTATCTATTCCTGAGCATGAACTAATCCGCTCCGTCAGCTCGTCAACCCATAAAACACATAAAAATGAACAAAACGTTCCTCTCAGCATTAGACAACGGACCCAGGTGGCCCACTGACCACGCATCCACATAAATAAATGTGATGCAGCTTACTGTAAGTCAGTACATTTACCTGTGCATCAGCAAAGTGGAACATCAGTGGCTTTAGTTTTTGTTTTAATTTAAGCGAGACACCTGGATTGTGCCACAGATGCATGCGGCCAGACTTCACTCTACCGCTGCAGAGATCCTTTCTACAACGTCTGAGTAGAGACAAGAGTTAAAAATAAGCAACATTACCACAGAAAACAAGGGATTGCATTATCCCATGTCCAATTTTAGAGTCTTAATTTATTATAACTAAACATTAACTTGATTTCACCATCTGAAATCACTGCCTGGGTTCCATTTTTCAAAGCCTCGATTGTCCTGTAATACAGATAAAAATACATCTTATTAGCAAACGAAGAATACAAGCACATGTAAGGAGTTTTGTCAGTATTTAAGGCCTCTAACTCCTGAATGATTTGCAGCTAAATGTGCTTAAATCCGGTAATATTTACATAAACCATACCCGATCAAAGCAGTCAGTCGACAAAAATATCTATTTTTTATAAGGTTAGGATTATTCTGAAACAGAATCAGAAGGAGGGAGGCAATCATTAGAGAAGCGGCTACTATCTCAAAGTTATTGTACCTGTTGCAGGACACCTGATTTGTGCAACCACAGTTGAATGACTCAGCACAATACCACACACAATAACTGAAAAATATTTAGAGATATTGAAAGCTAAGCTTGTCCAGAAAAAAAAATGAATTTTTGGGTGCACAGAACCAGTTCAAGTGTGGGCCAGATGCTGAAAAATAAATTCATAAATCTGTCTTTTTTGAAGTTTCACAAATCAGAGAAAGGTTTCACAAACCCCAAACTATGTTTTATGCATTCTGCTACGAGCCCAGAATAAAATAAAACATGTTTGAAGAGTGTATGTGTTGTAGTTTTTGAGCTAGAGCAGATATCTTGTTCTCCTCACTAGAAAGCTCTTCCGGTGACACGCCAGCTGATGTCTGCAGCCAGGTCCAAGTTGAAGGCTGAGAAAATTTCCGAATCGATTTAAACAAAGTGCGCCACCTTAGGGTCACTCTACAAAACTACACTCATTCTCCACCAAGCGTTGCTGCACGTGTCAGAAACGTCCTCTGTGATTGGCTCGCACGCCACTATCACGGCATGTGATTGGTTTCGTACCTTGGCAACAATCCGCCATGTTTTGTCCTATTAGCCGACGAGGTATGATGCTACTTTTTTTTAGCTTTTGCGGGCGTTAGTTCTGCTTAAATTCCTCCTGAAACATGAAGCAAAAAGAACTTGCAGCTCTGCCTAGCGTGGACGCAAAGCCCGCTCCGTCTGGTGACTTTTAGAGCAGTTTCTGCAGCTACGGGAAAGAGGAGGTAAGGTTTCAACAAGAAGGCTTTTCATTGGATAACCGACTGACTGTAGGCAGAATTAAAACACGCCATTAAAGATGCTTTTAAAGCAGGAAAAGACCAATGTTTCACATGCAACTTCTATGGCTTAGCTGGTAGTTCTAGTTCTAGCAGAGATTCACTCAACAAAGTGTCCGATTTTACTGTAGCTAACAAGATCTAGCAGGGTTTATTACTCTATGTTTCTCACCAACCCAATGAATTAACACTGAGCTGAAAAATCATTTGTGAAGGGGAAGAATTCACAAAATATGATTAATCAGTAACACTTTGCATCTCACACTGCTGCTAAAAACATTAAATCAGAAAATAGCTGTCTGATTGGAATGTCCTGATAAAGGAGCATTAGGAGCAAAAACCTAACCTCATGCTGTTTTAAAGGTGCATTATGTAGAAATGAAGTAAAAATGACCTGTGGTAAAATTTGTTTACTGTAACCACTTCAAACAACTCTGGAGGTTTTTTGTCAGCCATCGTCAAATTACAATTGTCGATGCTGCAGTATTGACTCGCAGGAGACACGGCGTCCCCTCACTCACTGATGTAAACTCTAGTTATGTCCCTCCTTCATTTGGAAGGAAGTAAAAAATTAACAATCCCTGCAGCCAGCTGGATATGAAATATGTTTCAGTATAACCTTCCTTCCAAAATGACTGAAACATTAGACTCTTGGGATTTTCTCACTGTAAAATTCTCACTATATTCTTACACACTGCACCTTTAAATGTGCCCTAGATCACTGGAAAACATGGACAGTGAGGAAATATTCAAGGTTGTGAAGGTGAGTGAAGAAGTGGAGAGTGTCTGCACCCAAACTGCAACAAGCCTAAAAAAGAAGAGGAGCAAATCTCAAGAAAACCATCCTGAGAAACCCAAAAAGCCACGGTAATTTGTTTGACCTGAAGGGTTTTGGCGATCGCCCTAACGATGGGTGATGTTACTTGTACTGACTGATGTTGTTCTGTGTTTTAGTTCTGCCTACCTGCTGTACTACTTTGATGTTCATCAGACTATGCAAACTGCAACCCCAAATATGCCACAGTCAGAGGTCAACAAGAGGATCAGCGAGAGCTGGAGAAGACTCAGTGTGGCTGAGAAAAGACACTATCTGGAGAGAGCCAAGTTAGAGAAGGAGGGGATGGAAACAGTAGGTTAAATCCCCCTTTATGGTCTTAATTCTTCTAATCGGTAGCAGAAACCTCCGATTCCCTGATCCTTTAGCAGTTACATTAAGAATTCATAACAGGATGTTGGGAAAATCATAATAGCATTAATTTGGCTAATATTACAAATTATAAAGTAATATTTAATAGACTCACAAGACTCGTAGATTAAAAACATCAGGGTTTTAAAATTTACTGGTGTCTTAAGATAAAAAGCTGTTTACGTTGTCCCGTTTTCTCTTCCTAGTCGTCTCTTGGCTCTTCCAAACAACTGACGGGCTTCCGCAAAATCTTACCCAGGGCCAACTGCTTTCTCTTGCCTAAAGGCAGTTTCTTAAGTCATCATCCTGGAGGCTTTCGACCTGAGGTGAACATCAGCCCTCTAGACTCATCCTTAGAAGGAGGTCTGCACTCAGTCTCCCTTCCCCTGGAGACCCAGCTCACGCCTGTAGGGTTGGCTGCTGATGCAGAACTTCCAGAGCGCCACGTTGTTGCTGATGTGGAAGAAGTGGAGGCAACTCCTTCTGTGTACCTCCAGAGAATTTCAGCCCCCTCTTTATCCCAAACCACAGCCTGCTCCAACTCTTGTGTTTCACAAGGTGCTGCAGACGTTACAGAGAACGGCGTCGCGCTGAAAAGTAGCTTGACACGAGCTCCCAGCAGCAGTTGCAACGGAGCGATGGTGCGGCAAACTACACAGGTGGTAACCATCTTACCCACACAGGTAAAACTTGGGTTCTGCGTTTTTCTGTTGGACAGAAGAATGATTTTATTGACACATTCATTCAAAAAAGTATTCGAATGATCAGAAAATAACCATACTTTTTCTCCAGAACCTGCTGAAGGCTCAGTCTGTAGCAGCTGTTGGTTCCTTACATCCCGTCATGATGATCTCATTAGGAGCCAAAACACAGCAAGCCACTTATCCCTCATATAAAATGGTAAACTTTCCTTAATTGAAATATAAATAAATAAGAAACAGTAACTTGTGTCATTTCTGATCGCTTAAAAAGTACTTATTTTTTGCCCTCAGTCTTTGAATACGTACACACGGAGAGGTCATGGGAGGTGTCACCACCCTGGCTGTTCATTCTCATACATCACCCGTCACAAGCCATCCACGTGTCCCGAGTGTGGGAGCCACTTGGGGGGGAAATGGGTTCCTGCTGTAAGTGTCAAACAATCTGCTGTCTCTCGTGCATTTAAATGGGCAGCTCAGGTAAAATAATTTCAGATGCATTTTAACAGGAAAAACAGACTTCGGCTTCCAAGTCGCTGTCGGGGACAACGGCAAAGGAGGAAAACGAAAGCTGTGAAGTCACCTCGCCACCTGCTGAGAGGCGACGAGCTGATGTCAGTAAAACAAACACAGATCGGAGCAAAAAGGAGGGCAGAGATGAGCAGTCGAACAAGCGCCCTGCAGCACCAGCTGAGACACCACTAGGGGGCAGCAGCACGACACCACGTTCCCAGACTAAGTGTGTGTTTTTTTTTTTTTTTTTTGCAGAGCTACTGTGTATAAATGCATGTCACGACTATATCGGAACGTTTGCCTTTTAATACCATTCACTTGTTGCTGTTTGCTGCAAGTTAAACTTGTCTTGGTTTGATTTTCTACTCATTAAACAGACGAGTGAAAAACAAGCCTAAAGTGGCCAGAATTCAGAAGAGCAAGAGGACGATGAGACCCATCCTTCCTGCTCTCTACAACACAGGTGAAACCAAACACACAGGCTGTGAAAAGATGGTGTGTCCTGTCATTCTGACATGGCTGCTGGTGTTACAGGCGGTGCCTTTATTCAGATCCTAACTGTCCCACCATACAAAGGAAAAGTCCCAGGTGTCGTCAGCAACAAGTATTCCACTGGTATTCTTCATATACTGTTTTATTAAATTTACAATACTTCACCTTGCACTAGCTCTTGTTCTGCTGTTATTTAGTAGAGTGAGGGAATAGTGAATCAGAGGTTTAAGTGCCTCCTGATTTGGTTGTGTGTGTGTTTTTTTTAACTACAGTGCCTCAGGAGAGTTTCTCAGGCCTCAAACCCAGCACTTTAAAGCAGCTTGGTCAGACGGTCACCACAGCCACAACCATCCAGGTCACACGCGCGCACCAAGACCCAGGGATGAATAGAAAACTGTGATTAGGTGAAGTTATTAACTCGCTTCGTGCTTCTGTAGGACACTCCTGCCCCAGCAGCCAGATACGAGCACGTGTCTTCAGTGACTGATGAAAGAGTCAGCGTGGTGACGGTCGGGCCTCATAAACAGCAAACCGCTCCCAGCTTTGTCAGTCCACAAGCAGCATTAGTTATAATCCATGGTAAAGTGCGATTTTGGTTCTGTGTGTTTGTTTTGTTATAATAAGATGAATTTCTGTGTAGCACCAGGATTTGGGGCTGTCCACAGGACGGGGCAGGGGTCACTGCAAGAACCCATCTTGTGATTATATTTATAAGAACAGACACAAACCTGCTGTGTGTCCCAAATGTGGCAGCGACCTGACTCAAAAGAACACCAAACCTGCAAAGGTAAGAAAACATCTCACCTTTAACGGCACAATAAGTAAGAAATAATCACTAAACAGTCTCAGTAATGTTGGAAGGAAGGTTATACGGAAACAGGTTTCATTCTCAGCCAGCTGGGAAGGACGTAGTCTGCAGCCCAATCCCAATACTCGCACTTTTACCCTTCAATTGTGTGCTCCCGGCCAGGGGTGTGAGTGCGTAGGGTGTCCTGGTTCTCAAATGCGGACCACACCCCTTTTGCACCCTTGATCCACACCGTGCATTTCCCACAGTCCATTGCTGCGCGAGAAAAGTCTCAAGTGCCTTTTCTGAAAATATGTATTTTCAAATCAAATTTGTTGATCTTAGTTTGATTAATTGATGCTCTGAATATTTCAGACAAGTATTTGATGCGGACAGCAATGAACGGAAATTTTTTTCAAATAATTGTTAAAAAAAATCTTTTTTAACAACTTTCAAAGTAGCACAGCGACCAGCATCCTGGCATGCTTTGCAATTGATGACGCAATGCTCCCTATCTTAATTCAGCAATTATTTGCACACTTGCACTCAAAGCCTTAAGCCTGAGTCATGCTTCTGCGTCTGCATCAGTGCGGAGACACGCAACGCCATTATACGTCGTTGCGGGCCTGCTGGAGAGCCCCCGCAAGGACGGACGGAGTCGAGCTCTCTTTTCTAAACATCCGTCAGTCGAGACAGACAACGCAAGCTTGTGATTGGTCAGGACACCGCTGTCGTCTACACCGCCGCCATTGCGCCTTCAAAAACATAAAGAGAGACAAGGATAACTAGCGGCAGACACGGAGAAGCTTGAAGAACACCTCGCGAAAAAACTCTAAAAACATGAACGTTTAATTCCCCCGTGACTGGAGGAGTGAAAAGATGCGCAGCAAGCGTTTTATTTATGGACAGAAATGACAGGAAACGTGGGTTTAGAGGTGGTGAGCGCATGAAGAGGTGGAGGAGAATGAGAGACAAATTTGTCTGTGTTAAAAAAATCTTTTATACAAAAAAAAAAACAAACAATATAAACACACTTATCCTGGACCGGATGCATGACAGGATACCACAGAACAGCGCTACGCCCTCTGTTGTCCTGGCGGGGAATTACTTTGCAACACTCCTCAGGAGACGGAGAAGCATGAGGGCAAAATGTCTCCGTCCATGCATGCGTGTCTCTCCCTGTTGGAGCTGACGGTGAAGCATGAATCAGGCTTTACTGTGCACTCCCTCCAAGTGTACTTCACAGAAGGCCGTAGGGCACAGAGCGAGTATTGGGATCGGGTCTTTCATTAAAGTCTGTCCCACCTCCAGACTTCCTGGTTCCAGAGCCAGTCATAAGTGAGACTGCAAGGTTGCCAAGTCTTCAACACAAACACCGCAGCAGTATTTGTAATTTGACACTGGCCAGCAAAGAGCAGCAGCGTTTTTTAAAGATTTAAGCCTGAAAACCAGAGCCACTCAGAAGTTATTTCTTGTGCCGCTAAGAAGCCAATATGGGGTGAAGAAGGCTAGAGGCTAACGTTGAGCTAACAATGCTAACTTTGAAATACAGTGGTGTAGCAAGTTTGAGCGGTGCCCTAGTGCAAGTAGTGCTCTAGATCAGTGGTTTCCAACCTTTTTCCCAAAGGACCCCGTTTTTTACCAGTCAAATTTTTGACGACCCCCTCCCATTCTCTCTTCCAGTACAAACATTATTAAGAAATGATAAAATTGTTCAAGCACATTTTAATATGCGTTGATTGAATAGATAACAGTAATAGTAGGCTCCAGTACAGAACAAAGTCATTAACAAAACCAAACAGAGCATAATGTGCTTGACAGTTTGTATTAATTCTCTGAACACATTGTTTCTTGTTGTAAACACTGATAAATCGATCATTCCTTTCAATAAACATTTGACACATAAAAAATACACAGAGCAAAATGTACTTAAATGTGTATATTACTGTTTATACTAGATTATTTACTGTAAAGGCTGTGATTAATCAACCAGGCCTATCTTTAATGAACTTTTGACACTTGAAAATAAAACAGTGAGCTGAGCAAAATGTTCTTAAAAGTGTGTTACTTTTTCTGTACAAATTATTTCCTGTCTTAATATCAGTAAACTTTTCACTCATGGAAAAAAATGTGAGCAAAATGCAGGCTATAAACAAGTAATAAATGAAGTTTTAACCCCTTAAAGTGGAGAGGTCCTGGCGACCCACTGAGAGGCTTTGGCGCCCCCTTGTGGGGGTCGGGACCCCCAGGTTAGGAACCACTGATCTAGACCACCAACCCCCCCCCCCCCCGCATATGACACCCCCATCTAGTGGACAACTTTGTTTCTGCGCATACTTGTAAGTAGGTAAGTAAGTAAAAGTTTATTTATAGAGCGCCTTTCACAGATATAAATCACAAAGCGCTGCACAACATGATAAAGATCAGGGCAAATACCTCTAACCAATAAAAACAATAGCAGTGATAAACGTAGAAAATAAAATCAGTATAAACAAAGTGAAGGTGTGAACCCGAACAAAGCCATCTTTTTGAAACATTTAGGGAGGGAACGCCTGGATGAAAAGGTGAGTTTTTAGATGATTTTTCAAGACCTCTACAGTGTTAGAGAGACGGAGACGGAATTGTCCATTTATCGTTATCGAGGTGAAATCCTCAATACGTTGCGATGTTACTTTTAGGCCATATCGCCAAGCCCTACCTCGACTTTTATATCTGGAGCACAATCTAAGCCCAACTGTAAACAAGCACATTTAGTGTATGAATAAATAATGTGTGAATAAATTGCACTTGTTTTGTTTCTTACCCAGTCTGAGACTTTGTTGGACCCACATCAGGAGCTGAGTCCCGCTCAGAGGGACATCCAACGCCAAAGTACTGTGCAGCTACTTCGCAGCACTCTGCAGTATCCTGAGAGTGAGGCTGATCTTCAGGAAACCCTGACCTTCATCCAGGAGCTGAACAGTTTTAAGCTTATCATGGTGCAGGCGGGCAATGAGGAGCAGGAGACAGATGCTAAAACGGAGGCGCTGGTTGAGTCTGGGTGGCCTCGCAGCTACGAGTCAGCAGCTACTCACTGTGGTCTGTGTAACCACCCTCTCTTCAAAGGGGAGCGTGGGTGAGATGCCGAGTCTTCTCTCATTTTCTCATTTTGAGGTGTTATAATGCCATAACCGGCATGTTTTTACATTAAACCTATTATTTAGTGATTTCTATGTGATCTTAGGACTGTAGCGGGACAAGAGGACGTCTGGCTGCTCACTGAGACGTTGATGCAAACAGCGACCCTGCAGCTCAAAACCTGTCTGAATGTTCAGTGTTTGGCTCTGCACAGTTTCACCGACCTGCATCCAGGTAAACACAGACACCACGCTTAAACGTTCCAGATGTCCTTTCTAATTATTAATTATCTACTAAGGATTAAGAGTTTTAAACGTTCCAGATCATGATATTTTAAACCTTTGAGCACAAAGCAAGGCACAGTATACGATGAAATTGGCACTATTGAGGTTTCATTCATCTTAAATATGAGTTATTTCGTCAGCCTGAATTTACACCCGGAAGTAAAACGCTTGGTTTCAGTGAAACGTCTGCTATGCCTGCTCCGACAAAACGTGCCTACAACAGCGTCTTGGTCGAGTCTGTTGCTGTGGCTGAAATAGTCCAGAAGCTGAAGGTGTCTGCCTTCCGTCTCTATGTGCTGACGTGGGTTCGACTCCCGGTGGTGTCGGCAGTAATTTATTTAGCCAGCTGAAGCAGATTTCATGCTTTTATATTTTAGATTTATTGATTATTTTCTGCTAAATACTTTGTGTCTCTAAAGATCTTTGAATTTTATTGATTTACTCTGCTCACCTCACATGGACTCACCCTGGCTAAATAAACAAAGAAAGTAAAAAAGTATTACATATTAGTGCTAATATTTTAAACCGTTTACCAATAAAGGGTTGAAAGCATCATACTGGCGAGTACAGCTCAAGTACAAGAAAAAGTTACTGCCATGACCGGGATGTGAACCTGTACAAAACTGCATCCCAGACCAGGACTCTGACCCCACACCACCAAGTCAGTTACCAAGTCATAACCTGTGCTGGCCATGGGAGGCAGGTTTCAGAACCCAGACCAGATTCAGGGGGGAACAGGGTCTGGTGTAGGGAGCCGGAAAATGGAGTGACATACAAATTTAACATCGGTCTGTTTTCATGAATTTCAAAATAAGGTTCAAAATTTGTAGCTGAAACAGGAAAATGCAGCGACAACCATGTTTGGGGGTGTTTTTGCATGAGGAAACAACTGTATCACATGCTAAAAAGCTCCAAAAAGTAGATTTTTCATGATATTGCTCCTTTAAAAACAGTGGTGTGTTCAGTCTCTGCCCGTGTCAGTTAGCCTGTAGACGGTGGCTGAATCTGCGGTGGTTGAGGAATACAAATACCTTGGAGTTCATCTGGACAACAGACTGGACTGGAGAAAGAACAGCGAAGCCGTTTACAAGAAGGGACACAGCAGACTGCACTTCTTGAGCAAGCTTAGGTCCTTCAATGTCTGTAGCAAGATGCTGCACATCTTCTACAAGTCTGTTGTTGAGAGTGTAATCTCTTCAGCCATCATCTGTTGGGGTAGCAGCATCAGAAGCAGGGACCTGAAAAGGCTCAACAGCCTGATAAAAAGGCTGGTTCTGTTCTGGGGACGACTGTGGAACCACTGGAGGAGATAATGCAAAGAAGGATTCTCCAGAGAATCAAGAAAATGATGGACAACCCTGAGCATTCTCTTCACAAGACTGTCCAACAACGAAAGAGTGTCTTCAGTCAGAGGCTTCTTCAGTTTGGCTGCAACACTGACCGCTACTGGAGATCCTTCCTGCCAACAGCCATTGTAATATACAATAACTCTTTGATGACTTGATTATTATTATTATTCTGAGCTACTACAGTAATCAATTTCCCTCTGGGATTAATAAAGTATTCTTGAATTGAATTGAATCAGCTGGTGCAGGTGCCGGGCTACCTTTGCTGTGATTGTGCTGACTTTATTTAACCGCAGGGGGGCGCCACAGTAGCACCTTTTCTTCTCCAAGGCTGCAGCCTGCCGGGACGCTGCTATTTCACCAAACTGCAGACTAATTGGGGACAACATTTCAAAATAAACATGTAAATTTTCTCTCAAACCTCTTGATTATGTCTGGATCTGTTCACCCTTTACCCCACTTACCAGCTTCTTCCATGTCTCAGCCCAGTCAAACATAGGGTTTACTTAATATTTTAGTATTTTTCTGTTAAACCAACATGTGTTTATTGCACCATTCTATATATATAATGCATTAATGCCAGAGCAGCCACTACCTTTCAGCATTCATCTCCATGTTACCGTCTTGCCTTCCAGTTCAGCTGCAGATTTAAACAGTTTGAGCTGTAGGAGCAGCTTTATCGATTCCATTTTTTCTCCAGTGTGTTCACGTAGCATCAGGGCTGGGTCACATGCTCGTCGTGAGGAGACCGTTTCAATTAGATTGGCCCAAAAGTTTTTTCCTGTTATCTGTTCAGGTTTGTTCAACATTGGGAACAAGCTGCTGGTGAGCATTGACTTGTTCCTGAAGGTCAGGGCCAACATCAAACTGGGCCAGTCGCCGTCTCACGCTGTCAGCACTGTCCTCCATCATATCCCGAGTCATCCGGTCCACACTCTGAGTCCAGAGGAATCGTCTCAAGTTCGGGAGCTTCTCCTGACCGGATACTGGGCCTTCGAGAGCGTGACAGTCCGAGATTACAACGACATGATCTGTGGTTTCTGTGGTATCGCTCCAAAGCTCGAGATCGCACAGAGATGCACAAACAACGTCCTGGAGCTGAAGAACGTGGAGGTAACATTAGAAAACAATAAAATGGCACGCAGCAGAAGGTGTTAAGGAGATACAAGACGGGCTGTCGCCTGTTTGCAGTTCACCTGGCCCGAGAGTTCAATCTCAGATGAAGTGCACGTGGATGACTTCTGGGTCACCATGGAGACTGAAGCTATCGAGCAGGCAGCTTTCCCTGCAGACATCCCCATCACCCGAGTCGATGCTTCCATCATCGCCCCCTTTGCACCCCCTTTGATGAGGAGTCCAACTGTCATCAACACAGAGAAGGACAAGGTTCTGCCACAAATAAAGGAGCCCTCAGGTACAGCCTTCTTAAATAACAGCTACCTTTTATTTTTTACGCCCGCCATACTTTAGCTTTATACCTGAGAGGGTTTAGGAAACCTGTCTGACTCGTGTCCTCATGAGGAAACCCGTCTAGAGGTTCACGATAAACGTTTCAACTGTTCATTCCGTTCCACTTTAGGTATCTGTTGTTTAAAAATGTTCTTTTTGTGTTTCTCAGGAGATCCGTCTGTTTTAGTTCGTCTGATTCATGATGGCCTGCTGAGACTCGACAAGCTGGAGGAAAACAACGAGGAAGAGCTGAGAACCGTCCTGACCCGCTGTGGGGTGAACATCCCTCCAGACTCCAGCAAGGTGTGTGTGTGTTCACAGTTTAAATGACCACTGAACCCTCTGAGGCTTGGACCGAAACTGTGGGTGTGAAAACACAAACCATGTGATCGGGTTAAGAATAGTGTCTAGAAAAATCTGTTCCAAAAGCAGTCTGCTGCACTATCAACACATGCTGCTGCTTTTATCACCATCATAACCAGTGCCCTTCCAAAGAGGAGGAGCAGAAAGTTGGAATCTCAAAAAGATTGGGTGGTCTGTTGCCGTGGCGACGAGAGGATAGACACCGAAACCACTAGTGGCTAATGTAGTCTTTAGAGATCCACAGAGCTATGCTTGCTCCACTCGCTGAACTGCGATCAGGCTTGGATCATTCACGTCCTCATAGGAAGAGAGAAATAAAACGTTATTTTTTATCAAAATGACACGATGGTTTGTGAAGAGTTTGTGTTGTTAGGGACCTTTTGAGAGCATTTAGCTGGTTCTTTAACATTTCTGTCATTCTCAGTCATCCAATGCATTAGGGCTGCAACAACGAATCGATAAATTCGATGAAAATCGATTACTAAAAGCGTTGGCAACGAATTGCGTCATCGATTCGTTGTGTCGCACAACTCTTCCAAAAGCGCCCTCCCCCCCTTCCCGCCCGCCGTTGCGCGCAGACCAGAGCAAGTCAGATCAGCGCGAGGGAGAGCCGCAGATCAGCGCGAGGGAGAGCCGCAGATCAGCGTGAGGGAGAGCCAGTACCGGCAGATCAGCGCGAGGGAGAGCCGGCAGACTTGCGCTGCTGCGAACTGGTTCCGCATTGTCGCGCAGCGATCCAGGCAGCTGCTTCCAGCGCACGGTCCATTCTCAAAGTGGCGCAACCAAAAAACTATAATTAGCACACGATCGTTCATGTCCGCACATGTTCTCTATTTTCTGTCTTATTTGTGCCTGAAGCTCACTACTGCGGAGCTCATCACCTGTGCTGTGGTGATGTCACCTCACGCAGCATCGAAAATGTGCTCTCCGCTTTATGGTCAGGAGATCCCTTTGATCTGCTCAAAAGTAACCGATGAGGTGAAAAGGTAAGAATCCAGGCAACAGATTTTCTGGAGAATTATGAGGAGATGCAGGAAGATGAGAGACAGACAGGACAGGAAAATAGTTCAATAAAAACAAGAAAACAAAACAAAGTGTTGAAAAGTAAAATGTAGGTAGATTTATCTCCACTACACGTTTTTACCAGTAAAAAACAATAAGTTACACACATGTCATATTTATACATCTGATACAATTCAGATCACCTTCAAAACTCAGTCACACACCCAGGGCCGTTTCAAGACATTTTGGGGCCAAGGCAAAATGACCCCCCCCCCCCCCCCCCCCCCCCCCCATAACTGGGCTCCCCAGAAGCCTCTGTGTAATTCATGCCCTCTCCAGGAGTGTTAGTTATATGGTGTTTATAAAAGCCCCTCAGACATTACTGACATGTTCTAATATTATCAGATGAAAAACTAAATTATCAGACATGATGTCTCATCTGCTTCTTTTAAAAACTTGCAAAAAGTAACAAAACCATTTGAAAGCCACTATTTGTGGATTCTCTTATAGTTTCCATGGAGTGTGTGACAACTTATTTTTTCATTGATCCTATCGTCTAATCTCACAGCTGAAACAAGCATCCTTAATAATCTGTGCACAGGAAGCTTACCGATGCTGTAGTAAAACAAAGGTATAATAATTTATTATTAATAAAACCTTGTTGCAGCACTAAAGCAGAAAAATTAGATTTTGCATTAAATATGCAAAATATTTACATATGAATTGTTTTAGAGCCCTTTTATTGGCAGAATCTGATATTAATTTAGTTCTTACAAAAAATGGGTCCCAACATGGTTTGTGTGGTGTTGCCATAGTGTGACGTCATAGGCACAGATCCCCTGTCCTCTTGTTTGGAAATGGAAATATGGTCACCCTACATTAAACAAACTGTCCACCCGGGCTTTTGCACTGCACAGAGAAGCTTCGCTGCCTACGACTGAATGTCAGTTGAGAGTCAGTCTCATGCAGACTGACCAATGAAGAGAGGGCCTCAAGTTAAGACCCTCTCCTCATTGGTCAGTCCACACGAGGTGGTTCAAAGGTTACTCTGGGCGGGTTACGTGTTGTCAGGCATTCAAGTATTGAGTATATTTACTGCATATTACAGTAAAATATTCTGTATGTGACCACATTATGGTGATCCTTGGGTCGTGATGATGGAGCCCTTGAATATTGTTGCCCAGGGTACAACAAAGTGTTAATCTGGCCCTGGTTCCGCCGTCACATTCCCGCAGAAACTGGTTGATCACACCGGGGCCAGACTACTAGCATGTGGTTTTACAACCACAATGTCCTCAGAAGCAAAAACGCTTTTAAAAGGGAGGGAGGAGTCCTAACTGTTGCTGCAGGCGTGTTGTGTGAGAGTGCAGTTATATACTGGTTAATATATTTTTGGGTTCAGTTGCTTTCATGTGGCCTAATGTGAGTCTATTTGGGATCATTGGAATGATCAGCAGCATTTCTTGATGTGACTTTATGGCAGTTGCCCAGGGCATCATCGCAAGGAGGATGGCATTAATTTACTTTTGTTTTATTTGGTATTTTTTCAGTCAGTTTTGGAAATAGTGATCAATTTTGATTAATTCACAGCCTATGTTTAATTACATTTAAAATAAATATTAACAGATGAGATCAAACAAAACAGATGAGAATTGCCCTTAAGCTGTTTAACTTGGACCAAGCATTTTAGGTCACAGATAGATGTAGCTTAGGGTCTTATTTGGGGGCAGCAGTAGCTCAACAGGTTGAGCGAGTTGTCCAGTAATCAGAAGGTTGCAGGTTCAATCCCGGCTCCGGACAGAGAATTCTGCTGTTGTGTCCTTAGGCAAGACACTTAACCCACGTTGCCTGCTGGTGGTGGTCGAAGGGACCGGTGGCGCCTGTGCTCGGCAGCCTCGCCTCTGTCAGTGCACCCCAGGGCAGCTGTGGCTACATCGTAGCTCATCACCATCAGTGTGTGAATGTGTGTGAATGGATGAATGATGCACTGTAGTGTAAAGCGCTTTGGAGTCCTTACTGTGAGAGGCGTAACAGGGATGTGCAAACATTTTAGGCAGCTGTGAAAAAATGCTGTGAACAAATAATGCATCAAAAATGAAAGTTAATCATTTATTTCCATCAATCAACAAAAAGCAGCGAATGAACTAAAGAGAAATCTAAATCCCATCAATATCTGGTGTGACCACTTTTAACCTTCTAAACAGCATCAGATCTTCTATGAACAGCTGTGGAAGGACCTGGGCTGGAAGGTTGTTCCAGACATGTTGGAGAACTAGCCCTGTGGATGGAGGCTTCCTCACATCCTCCCTGGAATCCCCGACACACTCCATGATCAGGATCTGGGCTCTGTGAGGGCCGGACCATCACTTCCAGGACTTCCGCCTCTTCTTTACCCTGAGGATATCTGATTGACTCTGGCTGGCTGTCTGGGGTCACTCACTTTGCATTTTAAATTAATTTAAATAAACAATCATTAAATATATATTTCTGAAAGCATTCTTAGTTTACAGCATTGCCTAAAACCGTTGCACGCGGGAGCTTTAGCGACTTATTTAATCCTAATTCAGACAGTATCGTATTTTTATCCTGTTTAGTTTCTGGTGTCTCTGTGGGGTGTTATCTGAGTGGTTTTTCTCTCTCTGCTCCTCTGTCAGAACGAGCTGCTGGCCTCTCTGCTCCACCTGTACACACACACTTACAGTGGCCTCCCCACGGCCCCACAGCCTCCTGAACACCTGACTGCTGGTAAACTGTCCAAAGTCTGCCCCCACCAGGTAAGAGCACAGTTAACACCAGGAGTCATCTGCTCTCTAAGAGGGACAGCTGTTGCATGTGTGACCTCCTGACTAGAGGGGAGAATCTTCACTAGTCTCATGATTCGATCTGAATTCGATGATTGGGTCAACGATTCGACCCGGTATGGCGAAGCATCACGATTATTTCATATGGATCATCTTTCGTCGATACATAGAAGATGTCAGCTGTTTGCTTTTTTTTTTTTTTTTACCAAAACCATGCTATCCCCACCAAAGCTCCTCAGTCTCAGCGGTCCTTAAGACAATGTTAAAGTGCTAAATCATTTTAAACATTTAAAGAGACAGTCAGTAGTTTTTACCTTTAATCTCTGAAAATATCAAAATGTTGTTGAAAATAAATAAAATGATTTGTGCAAAAACATTGGCAGCTTTGTAGCAACTATATATACCACTATAACCATGAAAATCAGGTACTTAGGGCGCGGGACTAGCATCTTTGGGGAAACGCCATGTTTCCGTCTGGCCAGCTCGGGGTCCTCCGCCCATAGGTGTCTGAACCATTATGTCAGAAGGGGATGTACCCCCCTAGTTTCTTTTTTAATGAAGCATTAGCCCCCCCCCCAACCCCCCCCCCCCCCCCCCCACACACACACACACACAGTTTGTCTTGTGCTCTTTAGATTGTTCTCAAAGAAATCCATTCCTTTTGATCCACTAGAAATGACTCAGTCCGTTGAAATCCATTCCATGCTTTCCTGGTTACGCTGCTTTTCTGCACACATGATGGAAGTGACTGAGGGGGTTGTCAAAAAAGCAAAAACTAAGGAAAGACCAAACAAACCGAGGTGAAACTTCAGTGCGGGCTAGTTTACAGGACAGGTGTTAGTGGAGTTAGCTGGTTAGTCAGTGTTATTCACCAGCTAGGCTCTCCGGCAGTTTAAACATTTATTGGGCTGACTGGTTCTGTGTTTCTGATCTAATCAGTTGTTCTTAGTAAAAATTAATGTTCCAGATAAACACAATAGCTAAACGGAATCCTTACTAGGAAAAACTCACTTTAAATACCTATAATTCAGCCGTTACTAGTAAAACGTCGTATTATTTACAAGATGCTGTTGACTGTGTGTGTGCAGAACGTGCAAAACTACGTGACTGAATTTAAGGAACAAAGTGATATCAATCTGCTGTTATTTGTTGCTGTTTGTGTTTATATAGAAAATAAATATATCTTCAGGGCTTTAGGCCCAGGTCAGAGTTTTATACCTCAGACCAAACCACATCCACACTTGTTCTTAATATAGTGAATCAGAAAATTCATTAATGTTCACAGACATCCAAACCTTAGAAATAAAATCAATATTAAAATGAAACATGATTAACATTGTTTCTTCATTAAAAGATTAGTTATATGTGAACACGTTTTCATACTTGGTGTTGTCCAGCTTAAGCAGACTTCTGCTTATTTCTAACAGAGCTGAGCTGTGGGAGAAAATATACAGGCTTATTTCCTCTTATTTTCTATCTTCTTTGGGTTTAGTGCATTAATTATAAAATTATAAATTCAATTCAATTTTATTTATATAGCGCCAAATCACAACAAGAGTCATCTCAAGGTACTTCACATAATAAACATTCCAATTCAGGTCAGTTCATTAAGTCAATCAGAAATAATGTTTCCTATATAAGGAACCCAGCAAATTGCATCAAGTCACTGACTAGTGTCAGTGACTATACAGCAATCCTCATACTAAGCAAGCATAAAGCAACAGTGGAGAGGAAAACTCCCTTTTAACAGGAAGAAACCTCTAGAGAATCCTAGCTCAGTACAAGCAGCCATCCTCCACTACTCACTGGAGATCGAGAAGACAGAGCACACACACACACACACACACGCGCACACACACACACACACACACACACACACACACACACACACAACAGGTCGCTACAGTCTGGAGGTGGGGGGGGGGGATTTCATAGCCGTGGCCTATGTAGGGCAAATGCTGAATAACGTGTTCCAGCAGCACATAGTGTTAATTCTCCGTTATAGTTCTTTCATTCAGAGGAGCTCTCTCTCCTCTAAACTTCTCTGTGTCCCTAAATAAGAGACGGGTGATGAGATGCTGCAGCCGCTGTCACTCACCCTCAGCCTTTCCACCAACACCGGATCTCCTGACATCACAACGTTCGACCTGAGCCTCTCAGCGTGACTGGGCCAGAGTTCTTAAAACAGCAAGGAGAAATAATCACGCGTAGAGGTGCAACCTCCTCTCTGCGTGAGCAGGCTCTGTCCGAACGTGCTGCACGACTCTAGTCACTCAGTTTGCATAGTTCACCGGCTCAAATGCTACTCAACCCATCGGGTTTACTCCGTTCGGTCTCAGGTTAGAACGCCAGCGCTCAGCCCTGCGTTGCCTGATGAAGACAGAACGATTTTTCCTACTTGGTAAATGTGGAGGACACACACGTCCCACTGTGACTAATTTGGATGCAACACCGGCATCATGGTTAAAAGAACAGAACTGCATTCCTCTGTAATCGATTATGGCATGCTTCTTCTACGACGGGGAATCGTTTTTATGTCAGCGTCTCGATGCATCGATTATTTGATTATTTTCCTCAGCTCTACTCCTGACCTGAGGTGTAGAATAAATAATATGGTAGCTTCATCTTTAACAAACGTGACAAAAGTCAGTCCAGAGCCATTTAGTGTTTAGTCAAATAGATAAATTCAGTCTGTCCATCAGATCATGTTGTATTGTATTTGAAAGCTGCTAATGCCGTTTTTTTCTGTTTGATCCATTTAATAAATAAACAGCTGAAATTAAAACGTCCACCTTGTCTCCTGTCCCTGTCTCCAGGTGGTGTGTTCCTCTAAGTATCTAGTTAGAGGAGAGACGGCTCGAGACCATGTTGACCTGCTGCTGTCCTCGCGTTACTGGCCTCCCGTCTACGTTAGTGACTGTCCCCGTCAGGTGGCTCTTTGTGTGGACCTCCAGTATCCAGAGCTGGCCATCCAGATGTGGGGCAGGAACCAAGGCTGCTTCTCCGATCCGTTTGAGGAGCCAGGGGTTGGTTAACTCATTAACTCCTCACACCAGAAACATTTTTTAAACGTCGTCCTACTCAAACTCTCTTGTTTCTCTTCAGTTTGTGTTGTGTTCTGAGCTACAGGACCAGCCGTACAGCGCTGACCTGTCTCTGGTGGCAGAAAACCAGCAGATTCACCCTGTCACCAAATCACTGTCGTGTTGGCTGGTTCATCCTCCTGGAGTCTCCCCGGGGCCTCCTGCTTCAGAGCACCACTCCATGGCCCTCTGCAGCGACCTGGAGCCCTACTGTGCTCTGGCAGCAGAGCTGCTCTCAGAGAAGGAAGAGGAGGATCGGACAGAGGGACGACTGAAAGAACAGACGGATGCACCAGAGAACGACTTCAAAGACAAACCAGAGGACTGTTCATCAAAAGGACAACCCATCATCTTCACTAATGCAGCTTATTACTACCTACACAACCGGCTGGTAGATTTCCTCACCAGCAGAGAGCTGGTGAACCAGCAGATCAGCCAGGTGGTGAAGACCTGCCAGCCTGGGGAGGTGGTGATCAGAGATGCTCTGTACAGACTGGGGGTGGCACACATCAACACAGAGTGAGAGGGTGACTGTGTGAAATAAGAAGAGTCCAAAGACGAGCAACAATAAAAGACTGCGAGACGAGATGCAAATGCTAACACCTACCTTCCTGTTAGTGAAGAAGAGCTGGAACACTGAACACACACCTGTGGATGATGCCAAGCAGCGTTGATTACTGCTGAGAAACGAGTCATTTTTATGTTTAATAACTAATATTTAGACTTCCATAAGGGTACATCTGTCACAAGTGGCTATGATAAAAGCATCCGCTAATTACATAAACATTCAAGGTAAGGCAGACTGAATGTCAAACTGTAGTAAATGATGACTGTGAATTTTTTTTGTTGGATTTTCTCAAATCTTTAAATCACATCTAACCTTATTTATTATCTGTTAAAACATGTTTTCAACGTTTACCTCTGAGATGCCTTTTGGACTGAAGTGAGCTGTTTTCAAAGGGATGAATTTGTTCATTAAACTAAGTCCTGAGATGGTGATGTTGGACTTCTGCTCGTGGTCTTTACTTTAACTCTGCATGATCAGGTTTCAGAGGCGGGTTTGATGAACGGTGAGCCGATCAGCCTTTATCACAGTTCATCGTAGCGATCCTTTTCCAGGATTTCCAGGAACAGATCAGCTGCTAGCATGGTGGCCTTCATACAGACCCATGTGTTTTTAGGTTGCTACAGAAACACCAGAACCTGCACATGAGCATTTGGCTGAATCATAATCATCATTAGCATGTTTTTATGACTCAATCTTTCATTTAACCCTTTGATGCATAATGGTCACTACAGTGGACAGGTACTCAAAATAGTTATTTGTTTTTGCTATTAAGCACAGCTGTTGAAGACTTTATTGCATTTGAGCCCCTCCATTTGGACTTCAGTAAGCCAAGCCAACATATTTCATGTTCAGAATGCACGCTGTCCACTGAGGTGGACATGTAATAAATTATTTGTAAATTATAAAATTTTACAAAAAATATTTGTTGAAATTTGTTTCATTCACACCCAAAGACCAATGAAAAAAATTGTTAAAAAAATCATGGTTGAAGATTTCATAATTCATGCATCAAAGGGTTAACATAACAAATAATGTATTCTTAGGGCTCTGAATGATTTTCTAACAAAAATAAATAGAAAATCAAAGATTTAAATTTTTTTTAGCCCCATTCAGTAATTATACATTTGGTAGGATGCACCTTCATCACATGCTTTTCATCAACGGGTCTCTGGTGGTCTTATTTAATAACTTCCCTCCATAAAATTGATTGAATTAAATGTTTAAGCTTGAGGTTCAAGAGTTCTTGAAAGCCTCCCCATTGGCCTGCTTTGTCTGATCTGCAGTCAGCTAGGGGGTTGCTAACTCATACATGCTTCACGTTTCACTGAATGGTAGCGTCTGTGTTTGTGGTCCTCTACTCCACCTGGTGTGATACGTTGTAATGCTGCTCTGCAGGCATTGGCTGGAAGGTCTGCTGTCTGCCCATTCTCTGACCTTAACAAGCAAGTCTGTCACTCATTGGATATTTTGGTAACACTTCACGACAAGGGTCCCTTTAATAACATTAGTTATTGCATTATTAAGCATTAATAAACCATTACATAAAGTGTTAACAACTGCTTTTATGCATTATATAGCATTACTAAACATTATTTAATGCATTATTAAGCAGTTAACTAATTTCTATTACTGAACCTAAGGGTCCACAATTAATTCAGTAATGATTAGTTATGCTTAAGTAATGTCTATTAAGTATTTAGAAAGTGTTTCCAAAGGGGATCAATGTTTTTTATCTTACCCAAGGACAGAGATAAAGGCGTCCTGATGACAAACACAGTACAGCATTAGTAAGACATTAATAATTATTTATTAATGCCCATCCAAGTAACTGCCGAAAGTAGGATGAGTGGATGCATTAGTTATTGCTTATTTGCTGCAAATACACAACCTTAATAAATGATTACTTTAATAATTATTGAGTGTTAATTAAAATGTTAACTAACATGGTAATTAACACATGTGATGCTAAGTAATTAAATAATGCAAGTGTTATTTAAAGCTTAGTACTGCATTAACTAAGGTTCAGTAATAGACATTAGTTAACTGCTTAATAATGCATTAAATAATATGTTTAGTAATGCTATATAATGCATAAAAGCAGTTGTTAACACTTTATTTAATGGTTTATTAATGCCCTAACCCTAACCCACATCATCTGCAAAAAGCAGAGACCTGATCCTCAGGCCACCAAAACGGAGGCCCTCCAAACCTTGGCTGCGCCTAGAAATCCTGCCCATAAAGGCAATGAACATAATCGGTGACAAAGGCCAGCCTTGGCGGAGTCCAATTCTCACTGGGAACAAGCCCGACTTACTGCTGGCAATGCAGACCAAGCTCTGACACTGGTCATACAGGGACCTAACAGCCCGTATCAGAGGGCCTGGTACCCAATACTCCCACAGTACCCCCCACAGGGCTTCCCGAGGGTCGCCTTCTCCAAATCCACAAAACACATGTAGACTGGTTGGGAAAATTCCCACACACCCTCCAGTATCCCCCTAAGGGTATAGAGCTGGTCCAGTGTTCCACGGCCAGGACGAAAACCACATTGCTCCTCCTTAATCTGAGGTTCAACAATCCAACGGACCCTCCTCTCCAGAACCCATGAATAGACCTTACCAGGAAGGCTCAGGAGTGTGATCCCCCTGTGGTTGGAACACACCCTGTAGTCCCCCTTTTTAAATAAGGGGACCACCACTCAGGTCTGCCAGTCCAGTGGGACTGCCCCCGATGTCTACGCAATATTGCAGAGCCACGTCAGCCAACACAGCCCCACAACATCTAGAGCCTTAAGGAACTCCGGGCGGATCTCATCCACCCCTGGAGCCTTGCCACAGAGGAGCTTTTTAACCACCTCAGTGACCTCAGCACCAGAGATTTGAGAGGCCAACCCAAAGTCCCCAGACTCTGCTTCCTCAATGGAAGACGTGTTGGTGGGATTGAGGAGGTCTTTGAAGTATTCTGCCCACCGATCCACAATGTCCTGAGTAGAGGTCAGCAGCACACTGTCCTACTATAGATAGTGTTGGTAGCACACTGCTTTTCCACCCTGAGGCGCCGGATGGTGGACCAGAATCTCCTCAAAGCTGTATGGAAGTCTTGCTCCATGGTCTCACCCAACTCCTCCCATGCCCGTGTTTTTGCCTCGGCAATCACCTGAGCCGCATTCTGCTTGGACTACTGGTACCCGTCAGCTGCCTCTGGAGTCCCACAGGCCAGAAAGGCCTGATAGGACTCTTTCTCCAGCTTGACAGTATCCCTAACCGCCGGTGTCCACCAGCGGGTTCGGGGGTTGCACAACAGGCACCAACGATCCTGCGACCACAGCTCTGGTCGGCCGCCTCAACAATGGAGGCACGGAACAGGGTCCATTCAGACTAAATGTCCCCCTCCTTCCTCGGAACATTTTGGAAGTTCTGTCGGAGGTGGGAATTATGTTTATGTATTTAGCAGACGCTTTTGTCCAAAGCGACTTACAAGTGATAATCGGCATTTTGCCCTTGAGGCTAACAACAACAATAACAGCAACAACATTGACATCAGTCATGGAGAGGAGGGAACAAGGAGTGGACAGTAGAGAGGGTGTAACGGGTGCAGGCAAGGTGCTAGTTAAGAAGATGCTCTCTGAAGAGCAGGGTCTTCAGGAGTTTCTTGAAAATTGAAAAGGAAGCCGCAGTTCTGGTAGTGCTTGGAAGGTCATTCCACATTTGTGGAACGATGCATGAGAAAAGTCTGGATTGTCCTGAGCGTGGTGTAGGCACTGCCAGCCGACAATCCTGTGATGACCGGAGCGGCCGGGCCGAGACGTAAGCCTTTGCAAGAGGATTCAGGTAGATGGGAGCCGTGCCGTCTCGGACTTTGTATGCTAGTGTTAGCAATTTGAATTTGATGCATGCTGCTAGCGGTAGCCAGTGGAGCTCAATGAACAGAGGGGTGAACAGAGGGGAATTGAAGCTCCTTTTGACAGGAGACTCTGCCAGACATTCCCAGCAGACCCTCGCGATACGTTTGGGCCTGCCTGGTCTGACCGACATCCTCCCCCACCATCTGAGCCAACTCACCACCAGGTAGTGATCAGTTAACAGCTCCGCACCTCTCTTCAATCGAGTGTCCAAGACATGCGGCCGCAGGTCAGATGAAACAACAACAAAGTCGATCATCTAGCTGCGACCTAAGGTATCCTGGTGCCAAGAGCACATATGGACACCTTTATGTCTGAACATGGTGTTCATTATGGACAATCCATGACTGTCCAATAACAAAACACCACTCGGATTCAGATCAGGGGGCCGTTCCTCCCAACCACACCTCTCCAGGCCTCACTGTCATTGCCCACGTGAGCGTTAAAGTCCCCCAGCAGAACGAGGGAGTCACCGGAAGGAGCGTTTTCTGGCACCCCCTCCAAGGTCTCCAAAAAGGGTGGGTAGTCTGAACTGCAGTTTGGTAAATAAACACAGACCACAGTCAGAACCTGTCCCCCCACACGTAGGCGGAGGGGGGCTACCCTCTCATTCCCTGGGGTAAACCCCAACGTACAGGCACCAAGATGGGGGACAACTAGTATGCCCACCCCTGCTCGGCACCTCTCAGTGGGAGCAACTCCAGAGTGGTAGAAAGTCCAACCCCTCTCAGGGAAACTGGTTCCAGAGCCAGAGCCATTCGTTGAGGTGAGTCCGACTATATCTAGTCGGAACCTCTCAACCTCACACACCAACTCAGGCTCCTCCCCCAACAGAGAGGTGACATTGCTTGTACAAAGAGCCAGCTTCTGTAAACGAGGATCAGACCGCCAAGGTCCCCGCCCTCGACTACCACCCGTCACACACTGCACCCAACCCCTTTGGCCCCTCCCACGAGTGGTGAGCCCATGGGAAGGGGGAACCACGTTTCCTCTTCGGGCTGTGCCCGGCCGGCTCCGTGGGTGAAAGCCCAGCCACCAGGTGCTCGCCAATGTGCCCCATCTCCAGGCCTGGCTTCAGAGGGGGGGCCCTGGTGACCCACGTCCAGGCGAGAGAACACGGTTTCCATTTATATAAATCATCATAAGAGGTCTTCGGGCTGCTCTTTGTCTGATCCCTCACCTAGGACCTGTTTTCCATGGGTGACCCTACCAGAGGCATAAAGCCTCAGACAACTTAGCTGCTAGGATCATTGGGACACGCAAACCCCTCCACCACGGCAAGGCGGCAGCCCAGGGAGGGATTCCAGAGGTGATTATAGTTATAATCTGTTTTGATTATTTTGGAGTCAGGTCAGAAAACAGTTTCATATGCCAGCTGACAGAAGCGGTTCATCTCAGTCAAACCCCGTCTGATTAACTAACATTAAAATATCGTCATCAGAAAATAACATAACCACTTTTTCTGTAAAGTCATTTCAGTTCAGTTCAAACTTCATAATGGAAGAGAGAACAAAGCATTTAAATCTAAAACCATGTGAATACTTCCCTACAGATATCTCAGAGTTATGCAATATTCACACATAATGTGGGAAATGTTCCAGAGAAAATGCAGATTGGATGAATATCGGACAGAAAACAGGAAGTGGAGAGGGAAGAGCCACTTGGTTTCTGTCAGGTCAGAGAGACGCACCAAAGACAAATATTTTGTGGTGCAGAAAAGTTTAAACTCTAAACGTTTAACGGCAAAGCTTTTTCAACGATTTTATTTGCTGCTTTTAGAACAAAAACACAGTAAATACTCATGTAGTACAATCTACAACCTTTCAGTGAAAATAATAATTCTTGATTATATGTATATATGTACACTCCAGACACACCAACACACACACAAAGTGCTGGACATCTGAATCTCTCTCATAGCTTATACATCGCTCTAGAATCTGTTGGCAGTGAAGGCTGACGGCTACACTCGTCTAAATAACGCTACAGGAAACGAGAGGACTAAACTGTGCCTCGGAAACAAAGAAAACGTTCACATTGTTCGTTCATGCGGTCCAGAATCCACTGATTTGCCATGTTCCACAAATCACGCTGAACACCAGTAATTAATGAGATAGAAGCAAAACAATCACATGCTGCAAAACCAAAAAACAACAACAACAAAAGAAAACCAGTCACAGTGGGGTGTTGTACGTTAAAACTGATTCCACTGGAGCGGAGCAACACAACCAGTCTTTTCTTTCTCACATCATTTGCTTTGACATGCTTACAGTTGCACTTCAGATGCTCACTCACAGGTCAGAGAACAAAAGCGAACAGGGCGAATAATGGATCAAGTGGTTTTAATTCTCTTTGACTATGGAGCTGCTTCCTCTAACTATGCATGCAATAAAAGGATTAAAAAAGGAAGTGATCCTGCTGACAAAACTGACTTAAACGTCCACAAAATAACACCCTCATGAGGCAGCAATAAAAAAAATAACAGTAAAAGCTGTGATAAACATACAATGAGAAAAGAGGGCCCTCATGAGCTAGGAGAGGAACTAATGATCAGCCTTGCAGAGATCTGGTCTAAAATAAGAATGACCGTGTAGTTCCTTCTTTTGTGTCTGCAGTCGGGGTCGATGTGGCGATGTCCTAGTCACAGAAGGGAGTCACATGCTTTGCTGCCGTCGCTAGTCTGTCTGGACAGCCGGGAAAAAATAGCAGACAGGGCGACAGCTCAGCTCAGGGCTCTGCAACGCTCTTCGACCACAAGCTTCAGCCTTTTCTCACTCTCCTCATTTCTGTGTGTTGACTCATAAACGAAGGGTTGTTTCAGGGCTTTCAGCAAAACTGATATTTGTTGTTGGTCTTCATCAGCAGTTGCTGATCTTCTGCCTGGTCACAGCACTTGGATTGGTCATGCACGTCTTCCTCTGTTAGCTCCTGCTGCACGTTCTGGTACACTACCTGATGGTTGAGATGGGTGATATATAAACAGGAAGTTTGTTTCAACTGAATGCAGTAGTCTGGTGTGTGCAACATGCCTTAATGTTCTGTTTATGGTTCAGAGAAGTTTTCATAAACAACAAAATTCAACTTTTATCTTAGACACTATTTGGTAACTATTTTAAAACATAGTAAAATGTGTTAAATTGATTAGTCCACACAGCTAAGTTAGCTGTCTCTAGGGGAGGATTAACCCTCTCAGGCTCAAAATAAGTTCTGATAAAAGGACAAACAACTAAGTCCTTCAGGGGTACTTCTGAGGTAATGCATGCTCATGAAATACGTATGTGGAGTAACAGGTAGGTAGGTTTTAACATTGCAAATCTGCAACACCTGCCTCCAGAGGGTTAAACAAAAGAAACCACCGTTTCCCCAGGATATCTTGTCCAGTGAAGCACATTCTATTCAGCAGCTCAGCTTTGATGAAACCAGAGTCAAAAACTCGGTTATATTAACCCACCTGCTCCTCCTCAAGTTGGTCTCCCAGCAGTTTCTCTATCATCTGACTAATTTTTTTAAACGTGGGACGCTTCGTGGGCTCCAGATTCCAGCACATCCTCATGATGGTATACCTGGAACAATAAATGATGAACTTTGCATTTAGTTTGAACTGTGTGAGGATATAATCAGCAAACTTCATAAAAACCAAATCAGACAAGGCTTTTTTGGAGGTGGTGACGCAGTCAGATGAGAGATGCTGGTTCACGAGGAATGCTGGCCCTCAAGTGTCTTTTGGCCTGCGTGAAATAGCAGTTACATGGCTGCCCTGCTTGGAGATCATGTGGCTAACAGGCAGAACTAAGGCCTGACTCACAGCAGGACGACAGATGATTTGGCCCTGACTCAGGCGCAGGCCCATCCATTTCCACCACATGCAACTCTGGGTGGTGCGACGGCCGCTTTCAGCACTCACAGACGCCGTGGCCCGTTAAGAACACTTTGTTTTATCACCTTTTGATTTGAATTTTGTTCTTGAGATTTGAGAAATCACTCAAAGTAAGATAATTAAAATCTGAAAAACTGGAAGCGTGTCAGGATCATCTCATGTAAAAGTCATTTTTAGAAGTCAGATATGGCCAAAGGCAGCGGGAAAAAATTGGTGTTTTTGTTTGATCATAAAACGTTTGAACACTGACTCATTTCTCGTTAAAGTCAACAAAATGATTATTCACCAGCTTTAAATGTCATCATCTAAAATACACTGCATCCTACAACGTAAGCAGCTCTACTATTACTACTGGTAACAGGCTAATTAGCTGAGTCCCTGAAGGCAACAATTACGTATGAACTATTTGTAACAAACCTGCTGATAGTCACTTGACAAAGCCGCTAAACTCAAACAATACAAGTTTCTATAGCTGGAGCTGGGGTTGCAGACATTTAACTCTTCCAGATGTTTAATTACAAATTTTTATTGCATGGGAAATCTTCTGAAGTTTAAATAATGTTATGGAAAGTGAAGCCTAAAGATAAAGTACCACAACAGTAGTAGTACAACATCCTGGTGACCCTTTTCACAATAAAACACTGTAAAATAGAATGCCAAAAAAAAAAATCCACAAAATTTCCATCAGCATAATAATGAGCACTGTCTGAATCTTTTAGAACAATCATAACTCGCCAGGATGAAAATCTGTCATATTTAAAACCTTAAACTAACATCAGCGTGGTTTCATTAAACTTTTCACAGTGCTGATTTACATCTTTTAAAGACGTAGTTCACTTATTTATCCATACGTTTGCAGTGGTCTCTAGTAGGAAGAATGCCTTGTAAGTCGTTCTCGGGGGACAGAAAATACCGGTGCACCATTTCTCTGACCTAAAAGTTGCCCACATCACAGCTGAGCTTCAGACGGTGGGTTCTGGAGTCTTATTTCCTGATATTTAAAAATCTCTTCCCTGATTGGATAACAGCAACGTGATTCCACTGACTTGCAACATGTTTTATCTCCACAAATGACACAAGCCAGGAGGATCTTCTGCCATGTGGTGGTGTTGCTAATGCTAACAGTTAGCTTCTACTAGCCGAGACATCCATTGCTGCAGACAATTAAATAACAACAACAACAGCCTTCCCCATCGTGAGTTGAGATTGGTGAGTCTATGAACGCAAATTCACAATGTGACGTAGATCTGTGAGGATTTTAAAATCCCAGAGTTTCACCGTCTATTTTCTATCAGAAGCTAAAGCAGGAGATAGGTGTTGGAGAGAGCAAAGCTCCTGTGGGACTTTCAGATCCAGACTGACAAAATGGTGATGGTGAACTAGACATTGTGGTGGTGGACAAACAACAGAGGACAGCCGTCGTGAGTAATTTGGCAATACCAAGTGATGGCAACATGAGGAAAAAGGGACACGAGAAACTAGAGAAGTACCAGGGCCTCAAAGAAGAACTTGAGAAAGCCTGGAGAGTGAAGACATCCCGTGTGGTGCCCGTGGTCATCGGGGCAGTAACCCCCAAACTGGAGGAGTAGCTAACGCAAATCCCAGGAAGAACATCAGACATGTCAGTCCAGAAAAGTGCAGTTCTAGGAACAGCTAAGATACTGCAGAACCTTCAAGATCCTAGGCCTCTGGTAGAGGACCTGAGCTCAGAAGGATGAGACCATCTGGGGAGGGTGAGATGGGAATTAAATCTATATCTATCTATCTATCTATCTATCTATCTATCTATCTATCTATCTATCTATCTATCTATCTATCTATCTATCTATCTATCTATCTATCTATCTATCTATCTATCTATCTATCTATCTATCTATCTATCTATCTATCATCTATCTATCTATCTATCTATCTATCTATCTATCTATCTATCTATCTATCTATCTATCTATCTATCTATCTATCTATCTATCTATCTATCTATCTATCTATCCATCCATCCATCCATCCATCCATCCATCCATCCATCCATCCATCCATCCATCCATCTATCTATCTATCTATCTATCTATCTATCTATCTATCTATCTATCTATCTATCTATCTATCTATCTATCTATCTATCTATCTATCTATCTATCTATCTATCTATCTATCTATCTATCTATCTATCTATCATCTATCTATCAATCGCGCACACACACACACACACACACACACACACACACACACACACACACACACACACACACACACACACACACACACGTGCACACACACACGTGCACACACACACACACACATACCATAGAGTTCTGTTGTTACAGTTTTTCTCAGTCGCTTTGGTGCGTTTCTCAGATCAGAATTAAAATTCTCATAACTATTAGTTCAACCTCCACAACATTTAGTCATTTGTGCACATCATAGTAGCAATTTCTCCTTTCTCTGAACCAACTGCAAATGATTTTGGACATGTATCAGTTGCTTTCATACATTTCTCTGCTGTTTTTTGACATTTTCATTTGCTTATGTCATGTCAGTCAAAATGAATTATACTTATGGATGCTGAATAGTCACTCTCAATAAAACTAATAGTCTTACTTTCATTGCTTGAGTCAATACACACAAAATTGTTGAACTAGTTATCAAATGTCAAATATCAGCCATCTGTCAAGCAAATTCTATACCTTTCTTTATCATTTTATTCTGGAAATGTCTCCTAAATTGAACAATTGATCACAGGTGAGTTTCATCTGTCACTCATGAGGAGGTGTAATCCAATAGAGGAGTTTTTCTCTGCCTGGAGGTGGAAAGTTTACAGTACTGTATGACCAACATCCACATGAGTAAATGGCCCTGCTAGCAGCCATGGATGCAGCATGTGACAACATCACAGCAGAGTCCTGCAGAGGATGGATTCGCCACTCCAGGAGATACTTTCCTCGCTGCATTGCGGGGGACGACATCCATTGTGATGTAGATGAAAATATGTGGCCAGACAGACAGGAACGTCTGGATGTGCCAGAATGATTTACTGTACCTGTATGTTACAGTACTGTGCAATACTGTATGTACTGTTACATGTACTGTATATTGTTCACATTTGTGCACAGCTCTACCAAAAGGGTGATTTTTTGTTTACATGTATTCTACAGTAAACAAGTGACTGTAGCATATTTTTCTTTTGCACAATGCTGTAGAATTACAAACACTTCTATACAGTAAAAATGTAAAACGTAAGTATTCAGTGTCTCAGTTACTCCCAAAACTCCCATAACATCTACAGTAACTTTACTGCACATTTCAAATGGCTGTACAAGTAGGGCATTGTGCTGTCTTGAGCATTTTCTGGTGTCACCAAATATTCTTGCAATGGAAAACACTGAAATTATAAACTGTCATAGTGAAAACATGACAAAGCCATTTGACTATCTTGTTCATAAAGATGGTGTCAAGACTTTTCATTTTGATGGCACTGACAGTTTCATTGACATGAATACTTGCTTTTGAGGAATGGATTATCAATTTTGAGCATGTGACATGCTTTTGCAGGCTATCCACTAGGTTTTGCAGTTTGCACTAATTGTTTTGAGAAATGCACTAACTGCTGTGCAAATGTTAATAGTGTTCTGAGAAACGCACCAAAGCGACTGAGAAAAACTGTAAGATGTAAAGCTTACATTTCCAGCGAAGCAAAGCCAGGCTGAGACATTTGATAGCCATGCTTTATCATCTTGTAGAACCTTGTGTCTACAGCCATGCTCGGATATGGACTCTGGCCTGGTGGAAAAAAAAATATATATATAATTTGCAGATAAACTAAAAATAATAACAAAAAAAGCTTTGGAATTATTCTAACCTAGAGAGAAAATCTCCCATAGGAGGATGCCATAAGACCAGACGTCACTCTGGACGGTGTAGATGCAGTCAAAGATGCTCTCTGGTGCCATCCACTTCACCGGCAGCCGGGCCTTCAAACAAGCACAAAGCCCTCACTTCACCATCGGCTCATATTACAGGAATAATGTGGCTTTGATTAGCTGGAGCTCTTACATTGCCCTTCACAACATAGTTGGAGTCATTCATGATGTCCCGTGCCAAGCCAAAGTCACATATCTTCGCCTCTCGCTGGCTGGTCAGCAGGACATTTCTGGCAGCAACATCTCTGTGAATACACTGAACATGGACACAGTGACAGTGTGTATTTTCATACAAATGTCTGTGTTCTGGTAATCATTTTTCACTTTCAAGAAATAAGAAAGCAGCTCTTTTAATTTAATACCACAGCGGTATATTGTAATGTAGACTCCATTCCATTCTGTTTTACTTGTATAGCACATGTTCGGACAGCATGAGAGCTGAGAAAAGTGCTGAACTGGGAGTAAAACGTGAGTTTCAATGTTCTCTCAGAAAAAAGAAGTCCTTACATTTCTGGCAGCCAAGAAGTCAAGGCCCTGAGCTACTTGAAGGGAGAATCTCAGCAAGTCCTCAATATCCAGCAGCCAGTCACCAGTTTCCTCATAGTCACACTCTTCAGATCAAAACAGAGAAAATGACGAGGGGTCGAGAAGGAAAACATGATTTCATATTTGTAAAATCTATGGTGGTGATGAGTTTACCAAGAAATGGTTCCGTATTTGGCACCTGGCTTGGCCTCATTTCCAAGTAAGTGCTTGAAGCTGCACTAGAGATCCCACTGTCACTGTTAAACAACAACAACAACAACAACAAAACATAAAAAAATCTGTAAATATTTCTCACTTATTATCTGGCAGCGTGTTTGGTAACATACCTTCTGATGAACTGCCTCTGACTGCAGATGTTCTTGTAGTCTGAGTTCTTCCTGACATCAGGAAGATTCATGACAGAATTGACGAACGTCTCTGCCTTCTGACGAAGGAAGTTCAGGAGGTCACCAAGGCTGCAGTACTCAGTGATCACGAGCACAGGTCCTGATGAGGAAACACAGCATGTTTCAGCTCCTCAGACGAGTTTTGGCGCAAATCGCTTACCAATGCCTGATTTAGCATGGTTAAGTGAAGTTTAGTAAACACGTTTTTGCTGTCTGACCTCCATATGTGCAAGCACCGAGCAGGTTGACGATATTTTTGTGGTGCCCCAAATGGCTCAGGATCTTCAGCTCTGACATCAGAGCCTCCCTCTCATCTGAATGGGCGCTGGCTGCAAAAACACAAGACATTCAAACTGTCATCTATCAGTAAACATGAAAAACTGAGATAAGCTCTAACTTTTTAAAAACATCTCACGCAAAAAAATAAAATCAAATAAATATAAAAAATAAAAACATCTCACGCTGTTGGGCCTTTTGTTTTAAAGACCAAATTCACTCATTTTTTTTAGCACATCTGCAGTGGTCTGTAATGAAATGGATGCCTTGAGTCAACCTCCAGTTTTAGGAGGTCAAAATGAGCCAGATCAGAGATGAGCTTCAGACAACAGGTTTTGGGTTATTTCCTGAAATTCGAACATCTCATCTTTATTGACTAAAAGCAACTTCAATGTTTTGTCTCCACAAATAACACAAGCCTGATGGATTTCTGCCGTGCTGTGGGGTTGCTAATGCTATCGGTTAGCTTCTACTAATCGAGACGTGCTCTGTTCTCGATGCTAAATCAACAACAACTTTCACCGTTTCAAGCCAAGTTGGGTTAGTCCATGAATGCTAATTTGACACCATGACATGTTAATATCTCTAGCTTTTCAGATCCAAGCATTTCCACGTCTATTTTCTCTTGGCAGCTAGTGCAGGAGTTAGGGGTAGAAGACTATTTTCGCGTAAAACCTTCATGTTCAACTCAGAGTGACCGATCATATTTCCGAAGCAACAAGTAAGAAAACGGTTTTCCTGTGAACTTGGCCTTTAAGGTATTAAATATTTTAGAATGGTTTTCTTAGGCAAAAAATATTTGTAATAAATAGCAGATTTCACCTTTTAACATTTTCACAGCCACACGCACGGCGTTGTCCTCTTTCCCAAGACCATATGCTGTTGCTTCAACCACTTTTCCGAATGCACCCGCACCCAGGATCTTTCCTGTTCAGAGTGCAGACATTTCAAATGGAATCCATAGAAACAGTTTGATCTGTAAAACAAATCTAATATAAGGGTTTAGCAGCTTGAACCTAGTTTGAGTTTGTCTCTGGGGAACTCCCACTTCTCGTTGTAGGGCAGCTGGGTGGGGTCAATGAAGGTGTAGTTGTTTCCACTACTCATTTCAATAATCTTCCAACGGATTTCATACCTGGGCTTCTGAAAAACAAAATCAAACAGAGCGATCAAAAAGACCTGCTACTGAACTAGTGATCCTGTACTAGATTCGCTGTTAGGATTTAAATGTACCTGTTTATATTTGTAAAGCAGAAAAACCAGCAGCACCAGGAGGATTGCCATGATTGCCGCTACTCCGCTCAGGGTGGTGGTTAAAAGTTCATCTGTCCAGTCAGATAAAAACCTTCATTGGTGTTTTGACTCATTTGAACTGTATGATAACCAATCAAAATATCAAACACTCACCAGAAACCTCCATGGAAAAAGTGTCTCTGCTGATGCCAACCAAATTGAAAGCCACGCACTCCACAGTCATCCTCTGGGTGGACGGTCCCACTCTGAGGACGCTCTCCACTTCCACAGCTCCGTTCTCCTCCCTCTGGACCTCCACAGTAAGAGCCTGGAGGGGGACTGCCAACTGCAACCCGGAGGTGCTCTCATTGCACCTGTGTCATCACCCCAAAACACAGGAACAAGATCTTATTTGCTCCTAATTTGTGATGTTTTGGGTGATTTTTATGGCCAATTTATTACATTTTACATTAAACGGTTCTTACGTGGGCCGTATTCCTAGACACTGATACCAGATGATTCTCGGAGCAGGATAGCCAAATGAGGTGCAAGTCAGAGTGGTGACATTCTCCCATCGCACCACTGCAACAGGTCTCTCTGTTGCATAGCAATAAAAAATAGAAGCAAACATACTCTTTCAGGTTTTACAGCGTTGATATTATTAGCAACACTTGCTTTGATTTCTGTCACTTACGATACATTTGAACTTGAAACTTGATGGATGCGTTGACCAAGTTGCTTCTGGCGTAGAACGTGTACTGGCCTTGCTCCTGAATGTTCATTCTCTTCAGCTGCAGGCTTGCATGGTATCTATGTAAATAAAATACCCCCCAAAATTCAAAACAACAATCATTTGAGAATAAAAGGAATATTTATTGAAGAAGTGACTAATTCTGTGGTTAGAATTCAGACAGTTTCTATGTATCACCAGCCAGTAAAAATAGAAAAAACTCTTCCCCTGTTGGAGTTTTATGACCTGACAGAGATATGATGACCTTGAAGTTCCTGGTCAAATTCTGGCAAGATGCACTGACAGCATTTTTCAGCAACTTCCTCATTTGGACACATTAATGTCCAGTCCTACTCCTTGGGGGCTGCTATCCTGCTTGCTTTTGGGTTTTTCTACAGTAACACACATGATTGTGGTAGAGGAGTTGAATGTTGTTTTTAAGTGTCTACAGAAACCTGTAAATGACCTTTCTGCTCAACTCAGGAGTGCAGAGAAACACCTAAAACACTCAGGATAGTGGCTGTCAATAACCTGGATTGGACACCACTGGTCTGAAAGGCGGTCTACCTCAGTCTCTGAGCTTTATGTTGCTACTGCACCTGTTGTTGTATCGGATGAACTTGTGCTCCTGAGTGGAAGTGTTGGGAGATGTCGGTGTGAACCATCTGTGCTCGACAATTTGAGGGTAGGCTTCAATCAGCACGTTCAGCTCTAGATCTTCGCCCACATTCACCTCGATCAAAGAACCCTGCTGTGCCAGTCTGGGTGAGAGTTGGGGCGACAGTCTGATGTAGGGCTTGTCTGATTGAAACACACAAAATTAAGTTGATCCTGATTTATAACGATCAATTCCAAACACCACATAGGCATGTCTGTTGTTTCATGGCTCACCCACAACCAGCAGGTACGTCGTGGTGCTGTTCTCTCCGGCTTCATTGGTACCGACGCAGGAGATGTTTCCTGTGTCTGCGAGGTCCACAGCAGGAATGGTCAAGATGCTCTGAATGTCCAGGCGATTCTCTCCACTGGAACGAACCATCTCCTCTATTGTTGGTTTCTAAGGACAAGAGATCACATCTGAGTCCGTGTCCAGAAAACTGCCCAGTCACACCAAGGCATGTCTCACACTGACCGATTTGGTGGAATATTTCCAAGTCACGTTATAGTTGAAGTTGGGATTGTGTGTTTTGCAGACAACCTTGAGTTTTTCCCCAACTATTCGCACATACTCCTCTGTCTCCAAGTAGACATAGGGAGGACTACGAAGCTCTAGAGCAAGGAGAAAACGTTTAAGAGGAAATGCAAGTAAAGAGTGTTGAAAGGTACATGGGGGGTTTCTCAGCTGAGTGTTCTCACTCTGGATGACGTTGATGGAAAAAGCCTTGGAGGTCCTTTCTACGCCATTGACCCTGGCTGTGCAGACGTAGTCAGCATTAAAACTGGGATTGAGGCTGTGGATGAAGACGCCACGATGCCTGTTGATGGTGAAGTTCATCCCTGCGGGGACGGAGGTCCCGTTGTCCATCCGGAGGCTCAGATTGGTGGCTGAGGGGTCGGTTAGCAAGCAGGGCAGCATGTACGCTTCACCCTCCTTCTTCACCACCCGTAGGGAGGTGCTGCTGGTCCAGAACACACGCTGTGGATCTAACAGAGGACGAGGCCACGAACTCTAATAAAAACATCATTCTAGAGTAAGACTTTTTGGTTTCATAGTGTCCAGCTCACCTTTCACGAACACGTGCACTGAGGAGGTCAGATTGCTGTCCTTGGAATCAGCAGCGTAAACACACGTGTATGTTCCGGTGAATTCCGCCGTGGGACGTGGTACCTTTAGGGTGCAGATGTTCCCAGAGCTTTTGGACACAAAGCGTTTGTGTTTGGGTAGTCTGGGGTGCCAGTTCACAGGTCCGTCACCCTCACAACTCAGATCCAGGGGGCTCCCAACCCTGACCACCACCTCAGAACCCCCCACTTCCCTAGATTTAAACGTGATCACTGGACGCCTCCATTCAACTGAAAACAAGAACATATCAGTAAGACTTTACTGGCTTTACTTTAGTTGCCAGAAATGAGTTTTTTTAAAACATAATTAATTCTAGTTTTTCCATGCTGTAGTTCTTTTTTAAAACAGAGCAGTTTTGTTTACCTGTTTCCCCGCTACGTTTCGCGCGAAACGTAGCGGGGAAACAGGTAAACAAAACTGCTCTGTTTTAAAAAAGAACTACAGCATGGAATTAGAGATACAACACAGCAAGAACACACCTAAGAAACTCAAGTTGTTGTTTTTCAACCACCTCATCCAGTCAGTGACTGATCAATCTATTTATTGAAATCAGGAATCATCTCTGTTATTCTCTCTTCTGCTTTGCACAGATGGGAATCAATTAGCTAAGTCTGGAACGTTTCCAGTGTGTTCCTACTCCGATTCTATGTAGAACATTGTGATTAACACCCTAAACAAGACAAGAGGCACATTTAAGAATTTATATGGAAACGAGAGGGGCAGTTTTAGTCACCCGTGAGGGAAGTACCATCAATGGTTTTGGTTACTATATATATATATATATATATATATGTATATATATTAGTTATTTTTACTTTACAGGCCTGCCTCCTGGAGTTCTGGCCTGCACTTTGGGTCCTAAACTACTACACTGTGACAGAAAGAGTCGCCAACTCTTAGAAAAAAGCTACGTTGTGTGTAATGAAGAACAATGTTGTCTTTCATTTACTAAGAAATTTGTGGTCTCTCAGCAGCACACTCAAGTATTTTTGTACAAAGATTAAAGACCATGCATTTCTAATCCTCAAAGGAGAACTGAGATTCAGCGTTCAGCAGTTTTCTGTCTAACTTGGGTCAAACTTTTATATCTCAGGATTCAACGTTTCCAGACTCCCTAAACAGTCACCTTCATCCATATTGGAAATATCGGAATGAACTATTGACCTAAACTCCAAATGATACCTCCTAAAGTGATCCAGCAGAGACAGACAACCCGCCACATTCAAATCAAACATTACATGATGCTTTAGTTTAACTTAGAATAACATTATGGGATGATCAGAGTTGAGCTGAAGTGCAAACAAAAATGTTTTCAATAAAATATATGATAAAACGCATTCCAGAAATTTGGTCCAATTTGAACATTTTAGAAGGATTATGTGTGTAACTGGGTCAGTGTGATGAAGAGCAACTATTTCAGCTCTAAGCAAGTTTAAAGCTTTGAATCAAAATGCTTTAGTACTGTTTGTGTCAGGATATGGATTTCCCTTTTAACCCCACAATAGATGAAAAAGTAGAACAAGACTGAATTAGGGTCAGTAAGAGAACTGCATTTCTCTGGTCCTACCTGAAGCAGCAGAAGCCACGACCCCGAGCAACAGCGCTAGATACTTCATCCTGGATCAAGTCCAAACCTGCAGGTTGAAGAGCGGCATGTGTGTGTGTGCCATGGAACACTTCATTCGTATTGTGTTGTTAGATAGAGAAATGGAAAATCTTAGAAGCTGTGCTGCAACTCCATCCCCTTTAACTTCTCTTTTCTTACCCGTCTGAGGAAGAGTTTCATCACAGATTTGAGCAAAATCCAAATCCATCTCAGTCTGCAGCTGGATTGTTTAGATTATGAGAAGCACATATTTATTTAGAAAATCCTCACCTTCAGATATCTGCAGTCTGGCAGGAGGATTTGCTAAATTTTCCTGGGACTGGAAGTTCCCAGCATCTGAAGCTGACACAGGAGTCCTTTCTTCCCTTAATGTGTTGCCTCTGCCCTTCTTCTCTTATCTTCTTGTTTACTGGATCATTGCAGCAGAAGTCACACAGCAGACATCAGCCAACAAGTGGTGGAGGGTGGAGGCAGCTGTGTGGGTTTGTAGGGGAGGATGTTCAGCTCATCATGCTTGACAAATTAATGAACCAGAGCTAATTAAGCACAGGACATGGTCAAGGACTCACAAGACTGTATTGGGAATAATGGAACTGTAATGGGAATGTAATGGGAGTAATGTCAATCACTCGTTTTAGTGTTGGATTGGACAGGTGGGAACAGCAATGGGAGCAAAAAATAGTAAAATCTGACTCAGGAGTCATAAATAAAAATAAAAGATTTGACAACATAAAAAGGATAGATGTGTTTTAGAGTATCTGACACCATCAATTCACTCTTAGTTGGTTAAATTTAACAGTTTTTAGCTGTTTCAACCAGAAATATGGCAAATTAGAAAGTTATATGATGAAATTAAGAAATATTTCTCCAAATATTGTGATAGTACCCATTTATTAACATATTTACAGCATACAAAAGGACATGTAAAAAATACATTTGTAAACGCTAAGAGGAACTTTGGTACCGCAGCTTGTGACACAGTGATCTTGTGCTTTTTTACATCACCAAATTCAAAAGAAAATAATAATCATGTGTTGTTTGAAACCGTGTACTTATAGATGCAGCATGATGTGAGTGAGCATCATCCAAAGCAACAGAAAAATACAAGCGTCAGGCTGTTAGGATTCAAAAGTACGGAAGCCCTTCAGAGACAAAAGGTCTGGGAGCACAAAAGGCACTCGTGTGTGCCACCTTGTGCTCAGGCAGTGTTAGGCTGCTAGGATTATTACATGGAGTCACTTGTCTTCACAGAAACGTGATGCTAGGATCACCCTATTCTAGTGGCTCTAGCTTTCCATCATTCACAGAGTATTAGATATTTAACATTTTTTCTATATAAAGTGCAAATCTGGCACAGAACTAGGAGTTAAGCGTACAAAAAGGAAAATAAAGATTCTACTCAAAATTCAGAAGAAAATAGCAAAAACATTGTGTACATACAAGAACAAGCTGTACTTTTTTAAAAACAGAGCATAGGGAGTCTGCCCACATTTCAGGACCCCCCCCCCCCAAAAAAAAACAAAAACAACAACAACAACAACAACAAAAAAAACAAGAAGATTTTTCTATTACAAGGAATAAGGCTGTTGGTAAAATCCAGAGTGGCAATAATAAAAAAAGATTAAAAGTTGATATTTGGAGTTAATAAAAAATATCACCCGCTTTCAAATAATTCCTCTGTTGAATTAAAAGAACCTACAAGACATTAGAGGTATTAAAATACTAAAAAAAATACATACAGATGACCTCATAAGTTTAACAGAAATACTACAGTAAGTGCGTCTCTATGCTGATTGTACAGAAATGCCACCTTATTCATATTACGGCAGGATAAAGGTGTGAGAAGTAGAGTACCATATGCATGATTTAAGAACCACTCAAAAGGAGCTCCTAGTGAAAACAAAGATTGTTTCTCAGTCTTTTAGTGTTGCTACATTTCTTTAAGTTTACTTGGGTTCCATCTTTTCAGCCTAAGAAAGTGGCTCAGTTGTCCTTGTGGACGTGGCTACAGGAAGCTGTCTTCTACCTCAGGCGTCCCCGTAGAAGCCAGCAGAGCATCCTTCTCACTGGTGTCCTCCAACCGGTCCTCCTCTGGAAGAGTTTCATCCGTGTCCTGGGACATGGAGTCTGCCTCCTCCTCCAGAACCAGAGAGCTGAAGGCAGGAGAGACGTGTTTGACTTTACTGGACCACATGAAACATCTGCATTCAGTTCTGAATGACTCAATTAGGATGGTAAAACCCACCAATGGCTCATTGTTTCACACACACATTTCACTGTAATATAGAGTTGTTTAATTAAAAAAGTAGCTTGAGACATTTTTAGAGCTCACTATTTGGTTCTAATTCACCGTTAGCGTTGTTAGCTCAACCTTAGCCCGCTAGCCTGCTTCACCCGATATTAGAGTAAAACCAAAGGATGCCGTGGCATCTTAGGGGTATACGAAATAACTTCTGGGCCGCTCCTATTTACTGACTTTGGCTCTGGAGCTTTTTCCCACCTGGTGTTGAATAACAAGTGCCAGCGCTGCAGTGTTAGCATGGTGCAGGCTCGGCAACCTCAAAAACTAAGTCCCTCTGTTTTTATAAAAAATTTGTTTTGAACGGAGAAAAATTGACAACACCCAAGCCAGCTGAGAATGAAATCTGTTTCAATGTACCCTTTCTTTCAACATGATTGAGACATTAGACTTTTGTTATTCTCTACCTGTATAATTCCTACATATTGCTCCTTTAAACATTGTGTTTGCCAACTGGACCAAATGTGACCTTGGAGCAACACTTCCTGTGTATTATTTTAAAAAAGAGGTGAAAGACCTCAAATCTGCACCGGGCCTCATTTATGAGCCAAAAGTAAAACCAAATTATCCAAAAATCAGTCCCCAATGAATAATTTAAAACGACTGTTCGGAGTAATTGCATGCTTCCTAGAATCCGTGTGGTCAAAAATGTATTTGTCTTTTCAAGTCGTTGCTTGGCGACATGTTTGTATAAGCTATAAAAACACATCTCTGAATCCGCCTACATAAAACATCCACTGTTCAACATCTGGATGAGTGGGTGTGTGGTGAACAAAAAACACACGCTCCAGTTAAACAGAATCATACTGCAGCTTTTGCATTTGGCTCAATCTTTGCAACCGTACCTTGCAGGGCTTTCTGATGGAGCGTCAGGTAAAGCTTCCTCTGGCTTTGGATCTGGGATGGGGATGATGTACTCATTGAAGGAATTTATGGCTTCCTGTGTGTCTGCCTCTAGCCAGTGCTCCCCAGACCTCTGGCTCTGGTTAGCAGGGCTCAGTGGGGAGATGGGAGAGTCAAACGCAGGGTTGGCGACTGGAAAGGGTGATGAAAGTCGAGGTTTGGTGCGGGTGACTGCTGGGTGGTCGCTCTTCATGAAGTTTTCATCGACTTGGCAGTATCTCTGTTTTCACGGGAGAAAAAAAAATGGTTGTGATGCTGAGCTTGTATGACTTTTCCCTTTATTTATTCAGTAAATTGGCTATTAAATTAACCAACCCAGACTGAAAAGAAGTTCTGAATTTCCTAATAAAAAGTTATTCTTTCAAATTTTCACTCTTTGTTATATTGCAGCCATTTGCTAAAATCAATTAAATTAATTTTTCTCTTCATTAATGTACTCACAGCACCCCATATTGACAGAAAAACAGAATTTTAGAGCTTTTTGCAGATTTATTAAGAAAAACAAACGGAAATATCACATGGTCCTAAGTATTCAGACCCTTTGTTTTGACACTCATATATTTAACTCAGGTGCTTTCCATTTCTTCTGATCATCCTTGAGATGGTCCTACACCATCATTGGAGTCCAGCTGTGCTTGATTATACTGATTGGACTTGATTAGGAAAGCCACACACCTATCTATATAAGACCTGTAGCTCACATGTCAGAGCAAATGAGAATGATGAGGTCAAAGGAACTGCCTGAAGAGCTCAGAGAATTGTAGCAAGGCCTAGATCTCGCCAAGGTCACAAAAAAATAAAATAAAAATAAATAAATAAATAAAACATAAAAAAATCTCTGCTGCACTTAAAGTTCCTAGGAGCACAGTGAGCAAACTTAGCTACTGTGGAAGAAGGGCCTTGATGAGAGAGGTAAAGAAGAACCCAAAGATGCAGTCAGGAGATGGGAGAAAGTTGTTGAAAGTCAACCATCACTGTAGTCCTCCACCAGTTAGGGCTTTATGGCAGAGTGTCCCACGTGGAGTTCGCTAAAAGACACCTGAAGGACCCTGAGATGGTGAAAAATAAGATTCTCTGGTCTGATGAGACCAAGATAGAACTTTACGGCCTTAATTTTAAGCAGAATGAGTGGAGAAAATCAGGCACTGCTCATCACTTGTCCAATACAGTCCCCACAGTGAAGTATGGTGATGGCAGCATCATGCTGTGGGGTGTTTTTCAGCTGCAGGGACAGGACGGCTGGTTGCAATCGAGGGAAGGATGAATGTGGCCCAGTATAGGGATATCCTGGACAAGACCTCAGACTGAGCCAAAGGTTTAATTTCCAACATGACAATGACCCCAAGCACACAGCTAAAATAACAAAAGAGTGGCTTCACGGCATCTCTGTAGCCCCTTTTAGAAGATACACCATGCCGAAAAATCTGCGTAATACTGCCGCCACGGCGTGTCTTATGAACGCGCCGTGGCGATGCTAGAATTTTGCGGCCTTCGTGCCGTCACGCTTGGTAGTAAATTACCACAATGCTGGACTTGTGAATGCATTTTACGCCTTGGCGCAACAGAGGGAGGTGTGGGAAGTTGCTGCCAAGCTCCAGAAGGGCAATATATTAAAAATGAAAGTAAACACGGGCCTTAAGTTTTGCTTTTGTAATCAGAATCAGCTGAGATGACAAACTGGAGCAATACAGCGCTCCTAGAGCTTTTCTCCATTATAGCTGGAGCTCAGATCACCAGAGACTGCACAGGGAGTGTGGAGGACAGACACTTTTAAGGGCTGCTTGTTAAAAAAACTTAATGAGCACGGCTTTGATCGCAATAAAAAAAAGCAAGTTATGTCTAAGATAAACAGAAGTTTGCTCCAGCACAGAGACCACCCCCATACCATGTTTACATCGCCATCACCTAATCTTTTGTAAAAGGGACACGATTGTGCAACATTTCTGCTACAGTCTGTGCACTTATAAATGACCTAAGGCTCTGTGATGCCGCATTGCAGCTAATTGGCGGCATTGTTTTCTAAAATAGGCTTGTGACTGCTCTTGAATGGCCCAGCCACAACCCTGACTTTAACCCAAAAGAGCATCTTTGGAGAGGCTCTGAGTTAGGGCTGGGGTAAATGATTATTCTAAAAATGATTATTCGAGCGATTGTTTTATTGAAATGTTGACTATTCAAATGTCCATTTATTTACACAATCAAACGATTATTTTTCTGTTGCACGATTAATAAAAACCATAAAATCTCAAGGAGACTGGGTAGGCCTATCAGGATCTGCTCTGGAGTGGTTCTCCTCTTATCTCTCTGAGCGCTTCTTTTCTGTGGCCGTCTCCAACTTTAGGTCTTCCACCACCTCTCTTACCCATGGTGTCCCACAAGGTTCTGTGCTGGGGCCTCTGCTCTTCCTCCTCTATCTGCTTCCTCTTCAGCACATCCTGAGCTCCTTCAAAGGAATCTCTTACCATCTTTATGCAGATGACATCTAACTGTACATCTCCTTTAATCCCCATGAGATGTCTAAGCTGCAGCTGTTACACACCTGCTTAGACTCTATCAAAACCTGGATGGCTGGGAGCTTTCTTCAGCTGAATGAAGATAAGACTGAGATCCTCATCTGTGCCCCAGACAAGCTGGTTCACAAAGTCAGAGACTCTCTTGGTCAGCTTGCTTCTCACACCAAACCTTCTGTCAGGAATCTTGGTGTGACCTTTGACCCAGCTCTTACCCCGGATTCTCATGTCAGTTCACTTGTTCGCTCTTCCTTCTTCCATCTCAGGAACATTGCTAAGCTGAGTCCCATTCTGTCCCGCTCTGCACTTGAGACAGTTATCCACACCTTCATCTCCTCACGCTTAGACTACTGTAACTCTCTTTTCACGTGTCTGAGCAGAGCCTCCCTGAACCGTCTACAGGTGGTTCAGAATGCCTGTGCTCGGCTTCTGACCAAGTCCTCCAAACACACCACCATCACCCCGCTTCTCCTCCAGCTTCACTGGCTGCCAGTCAACTTCAGGGTTCATTTCAAGTTCCTGATTCTGGTCTTTAGGGCCTTACATGGACAAGCACCATCTTACATTGGTGATCTTCTTAGTTCCTACACCCCCAGCAGGTCCCTGAGGTCCAGTGATCAAAGCCTACTGGTTGTGCAGCACCAGGCTAAAGTCCAAAGGTGACAGATCATTTGCTGCTGTGGCCCCCAGACTCTGGAACTCTCTCCCCCTGTGCCTGAGATCAGTGAACTCAGTGGTCTCCTTTAAAAAGCAGCTGAAAACTCACCTTTTCAGGCTTCGGTGTGACCTTCATCACCCTCTCCTTGTTCTGCTCTCCCTACCTATTCCACCTTCCTCAGGATCCACTGATTTCCCTCTTTCCTATTCACTCTCTCTCTTTCTTTACATTTTTTAATCACAATTGTCTATTTTTTGCTCATTTTAAATATATTTTTAATAATTGTCAAAATTCTTTTTTATATTTTTACATTTTTTTGTTTTTGTGAAGCGCCTCGTGATTTTTATCTTGAGAGGCCCTATAGAAAAGATCTTTTGTTCTTCTTATAAAATCTCAAATAACACTGCTGAGCCTGAGAGGTGGTTGGAGACGAGTTTTGTTCTCCATGCTGCTTTGCTTTGGTCACTTCCACGCGCGTGGTGAGTGGTGTTACAACCCTTTCTGGGTTTGCCTTGTGTGCAAAAAGGAAGGGACAATAACACAAAATTTTGAATCTGTTTTAAAATTATGATCAGGTTCAGGCAGCTCTGATTGAGACAGGAAGAGACTGAACAAGCTAAGCAAGCTCGGTTCTGGGATGTCCAATGGATTCAGTTGAGAAGACGTGTGAAAGGAGGATGCTGGCGAGGATGACCTCCATCTTAAAAAACCCTCTCACCCACAGTGTTCCACTGTGGAGACCATGGACAGCTCCTTCAGAGGCAGACCGAGACATCCCAGATGTAAAACAGAACGCTACCATAGGTCATTCATCCCCTCAGCAGTAAAAGTGTATAACTCCTCAGTTTATGTTTTGCTGGCATTATCCTGTGAAACAATAACACCAATGCAATATTCATTATGTGTTTAATACTCGTGCATTACTGGGTTTACACTGAATGTCTGTGTCTCTTTCATTATGTTGCATAATGTTGGAAATCACAGAGAGATCTGGGTGAGGCTCCAGGTGAGTGAGGCTTCACTTGCCATGGATTGTGTCTTTTCTGCGAAGTTTTAATTTCACTGACAAAATATTGTTCTTTTTTTCTTTACAAACAAATGTTTGCAGGCAAAAACAAAACAAAAAAAAACAAACTTCTATAAAAACAAAATTATGACAAATATCGATCAATATTTTGGTTGACTAATAAAAGACGACAATAAAAATGAGTAACAAAAATCAGAAATTTGGAAAGTTGGGAGGCACAGACAAAAGAACCAATTGGCAAATGAAACAGGTGGGATTAGACAAGAAAAGAGCCAATCAGAGTCCGGAGCCAGCTGATGTTTGAACAAGCTACCGGTAACAGTTGAACAGTTCACGTCTAAAGGGCAACCGTCACGGCTGGGAAGAAAAGCATTAAATGTGATGATTTAAAAATTATTTGCTTGGTGTAACGTACAAAATGGTCAATTCTTCACCATCTAATTAACACAACATAACCTTTCATACACATTCAAGGCTGCACCATCTGTCGGGCCCCAGACGCCCAAAACAACCCTTTGCCAACTTATTGTTTTTCATTGGAAACGTAATAGTTTCCCTCAAGGTTCCTGCCATCTCTGTGTAAAAGCCATACTTTCTACATGAAGCTCCTACAGGACTATTATAATTTAAATAATCATGTGTGATGAATGAACAAGATGTTTAAATCAAATGTTTGAATAATCTGTGTTTAAATCAATGAATTTAAAATGAATATTGCTCTAACAATGATCCATTTCAGATCTTATGATCAGTACGTGTTAATCAATATCTGCACTCATGCATTACATATCCATTACATCACGTCTCATTATTCATATCTTGTCATGTATAATCATTAGTTTAGGAAAATAATTAAATTCATTTTCTAAACTATATACCTGACTCTGTCTGAATTAATACAAAGTGTGCTTATGGTCCCTTAAGAAGCAAAGAGCCCTAGAATCTTCTGATTAAACATTAATAGATCAGTCAGGTCGATATTTCATATTTATATGAAATAATCACATCTTATTGGTCATAATTAATATGTAGTGTCAATCATCATCAAGTTTACTTGGACGCTACTTTGGTGAGTCCACATCCGGGTTTCCTCTAGTTTTAAAAGTGTTACAGTGGCACCGAGTGTTGATGGGACGGGGGACTAGATTGCTGCAGCTGAACCAAACTCACTGAGCTACACACGTAGTTCTTTAATCATTTAAGTGCAGTGGCGGCTGGCCAGTAGAGGGCGATAGGGCGGCACCCTCCCAGTTTTCCCCAGTGTTTTTAATTTTTATTTAAAAAAAAAAATAAATAAAATTAACAATAATCACATATTCTAAGTTAATTGTGTGTTTTGTAACAAAAACAAATCATATATATATATATATATATATATATATATATATATATATATATATATATATATATATATATATATATATATATATATATATATATATATATATATATATATATATATATATTGGTCAGAAGCTCTCTGCCGAGCTGTGGAGCCGACAGGAAGGCTGTGGGCTGTGTTTCAATTGTCCAAACAGCACGAAAGCAGTCCGCCAATTGCTGACAAGAAAATTAAAAGGTAGGAATGGGAATGTATCCAATCAGCATCGACGTTGTTTCAGAAGCATGATGGGCGATAGAGCTACCGCCAAAGGCTTTCGTTGCTGTTCGGTAGAACTCGGAGAGTCTCGACTACTCCAGCATGTTTTTGGTCGTGACGCAGATGGACGCCAGTGATACAACCAGCATGGATACCGGATCTCAGCAGCCACTGAATTCAGTTCGGTCTCTTCTCCAGTATCCGTTCGAGAGGAGAACTATGGTGGAAAAACTTAATGTCAAAGAGCTTGGACCAGATCAGCCCGACGTAAAGATAAGCCAGCAGGAGGAGGAGAGAGGTAAACTGTACACACCAGGCTTCTGGAAAGGCTTGGCTAGCTGGATGCAATAACGCTAATGCGTTATTTTGCTTTCCGTGTTTGTTATTCAAAATGACTGTGACAGATGAGGAATGGATTGAGTCAGGAGTTACGGACATGAAACATTTTTCTGAGAAGGTGAAGAAACACGAGTTACAACACGGTGAAGCTAGCTATGCTAGGCAGAGCTAACATTGCCATGCAGCTAGAGACGAGGGACACAGGCTTGCAGTGAAGAAACACAATGAAGAAGTGGATCAGAACCGGCACATTTTGTCCAAGAGAGAGATGTCAACACAGTGTATGAGCACAAGGATGACCTCCTCAGATTTTTCCAGATGATCAGAGACTCGGATGACTTTGATCCAGTCACTGAGAGAGAGGCAGGTGGCTTTGTGAGAATGCTGGAGGAAGAAGATTTCGGCTTTCTGCTGGCATTGTGTCACAAGATCATGCCACATGTGGACATGCTGTTCAACCAGCTGCAGAAGAGGAACATTGACTCTGTCTCCATCACAGGGGTCATCCAGAGCTTCACCAACATTATGCAAAAGATCAGGTACATACTTGTTTATTTAATATTATTGTGATGAAATTCTCCAGTATGTTAGTTTCACAAACAGTAATGTGGATGTGGACCATTTATGGTCATGTTATTTTATGCGCAATTTAATGCAGTATTTTTCAACCTTGGTCCGCAAGGCAGTGTGCCAATAGTCAGACACACGTGGATTAATCAGTTTGTCCAATGATGTAAGACAAGAAATTAAAGAGCTGTGCTTAATTCACGAAATAGTGAAGTTGTGCACAAAGCTCAGAAAGCACAAGTTTGTTTAAAAAAAAATAGCACAGCCCCACCAAAAATATTTTTCACCAGCCGCCACTGTTTAAGTGGCATTGCTACGGCCGATGTTATGCTTGGTGCTCTAGCTGTGTTTTTATGAGAAAAAATATTCAGGTGGCCCACCTTGGTTTAATAGTGAAGAGAAAACTCTAATAAATACACCTGAAACCAATTCTTACCTTTAATTTACCTCCTTGTATTATTCGAGTAACACCTTTTAATGTTTTGATGGTTTTCATGTCCAGAATGGGACGCTGGTCTAGCATCCATGTCCACAATCCAGTAACATCATCCCATGCTGGACAAGCATCCAAAACACAACATATGCTGGTTTTGTCAGCAGGAATGATGTCATTTCCTGTCATGTTTACAAATATTACTGCACACTATACAGATTTATTTACTTTATTAATACTGAGAGGCACAATTTCAAACTGTCAGTGTTAATTTAGGTATTTTCTAATAATTATTGTTATTAAGACATATAAATATATAGTTTTATTGATCCAAAGTGTAAATGTGAAATTTTCATGTAGGTGTAGTTAACATTTCCGCTACAGAAGTTGAAAATGATTGCATCAGAGAAAAATACATATATTTTAGTCCACTAAATGAGACTAAAACTAAATCTAATCGGACAACAAAATCGTGACTACATTTAAAAAGGATGTTGTGTCAAAATCAACACTGCTTCTGAGACAGCGGTATCAAACTCTGGAAATCAGCACCTGATTCAATCACCTTGACTCACCGGTTTGGCAGGTCATCATGCTCTATTGAAGCCTGCTGATCATCCACTGGTTAAAATCAGGGGTGTTGAAGCAAAGTAATCTCTAAAATATGAAATAAGGTGACCTCGAGAATCAGGTTTGGATATCTCTGCTCTGGGAAAATGAAACAAGCCTCGAACTGGAAAAATTGCCCCAGACCTAGCTTTTGTTCAGATAGCTACCTGCCGCTTTTAGACCCCCCCCCCCTGGTACCACTTCAGTCCTGCCAAAGGTGTAACGGCAGAAATGAGGCACAGCAAAATATCATCTGTGACATAAGGGACTTCTGTAAAACGAGACATTGAATAAAGCCTGATCTGATTTAAAAGGGATCAGTGTTGACACTTCACCCTCCTGGAGTGTTGGTGATGGTCAGAGGGACTGGTGGTACCTGTCCTCTCTTCTGTTATTGAGCCCCAGGGCAGCTGCGGCTACATGGTAGCTCATCACCATGAAGTGTAAAGTGCTTTGGAGTCCTCTGATTCAGGGAAGAGTTTTACAAGTGCAGGTCATTTATCATGTAGCAGCGTTCATTGTTAAGACTAACGGAGTCATGTTAACTCTGTGTTTATTTCTGCTCCATAACAAATGTAATCTCGAAAAGTATTTTAAGGTTGTTTAGGATTAAAACCAACAATTTAACAGGTATTAATTATTTATTTTAGTATATTTACAGAAGTCTTCTTGATCCAGACGGTTCTTTCTTTTGGCTAATCTTGATTTAGTGCTTGTACATGTTGTTTCTGGTTTGTTAGGACTCCTAATTCTGCCCTTTGAACGATTCATACCCCTAAACTCAAGGGATCGTAGGTCAGATACCTTCTTATAGCTGTCTGCTAGCATGTTCCCCACATTGTGGACCAGCAGGGAGAACTCAGGCCTCTTCTCGTACTTTTCATCCCAGCACTTCTTCATGATGTTGTAGCTGCGACACAAAAAGAGTTGATCTTGAGTCGTTTGATGTCAGTTAGCCAGCGCTGACAGAAAGTCAAGGTGAGAGGACACTCACACATCATCAGAGGCATGAGCAGGTTTGGACATGCGGTAGCCTCTCTTCAACGCGCTGTAGAAGATCTCATTCATGGGCAAATCAGGGTACGGGGTTCCCCCTGATGAGAGACAGGTTCAGAGATCAAATACCATCAGATGAAGTAAAAGATTAAATATATCCTTTGAACAGTTTTCCTAATAAGAACAGCTATCATGTGCTACAAAGTGGATTTTCCAAAGTGGAAAAAAACTGCGGACCCAGAACGTCCGATGAAAGTGACTTTCAGATGCAGGAGCACAGAGAATCTTTGTCGTTCACAGAGAGGAGATTGTGAGTGTGTTTTTCACCCTGTTAACGCTCCTCTTTGTTTTCACGGTAGCTTTGGAAATTAATGGGAAGAGTATAAAAAAATCTTACAATACCCTGAGCAAGGAAATGCTGATTTCAAAGCTTGACTGAGACTAAAAGGCTGTTGACCAAACAAACTGGAGTGGACTTACTGTCAGACACGTAGAGTTAAAAACTCATCGCTGCCCTACCTTTGTTTGTTTATAGACGTAAACGCGTGTTTGTGCAGGAGACGAGCAGGTAAAACTCGGTTAGAGAGGGCAGATCACCTACATCACCTCCACTTATGCCTTTTATTTGCAGATGTGTCTGACTTTTCTGCTTCGGTGTGCTGCTCAGACTGACCCAGTGTGAAGATTTCCCAAAGCAGAATGCCGTATGACCACACGTCGCTGAGGGTGGTGTACAAATTATGGAAAATACTCTCTGGTGCCATCCACTTCAGAGGCAGGAAGGTCTGAATCAGGAGAGAAACACACCAAACAGTCCTTTAGGTCCTGTTTGACCCTGAGTCTTTTTATCCAGATACAGAATAACATCATTTATTACTCACGCTGCCTTTGGAGATGTAGTTGGAGTCATGCATGATGTCTCTGGCCAGGCCAAAGTCACAAATCTTCACCAGCTTTCCTTCACAGATCAAAACATTCCTGGCAGCCAGATCTCGATGAACACACTGTCAAGGAAATATCCAGTTAATTAAACCTGATAAACAAAAGAAAGATTTATAATTCCTACTGGATACTGTGTGAGGTAGCTACACATCTGGAGCGTTGTCTTAAAGTTCTTACATTCTTGGAGGCCAGGAACTCCATTCCCTTTGCCACCTGGTAGCTGAAGCCCAGGAGGTCATCATAGGAGAGGCTGGGAGAGTCACTGATCACCAGGTCCAGTCTGGTTCCACCTGAACCAGGACCCAAAGAGGAGAAATTCAAAGACAGTTCCAAAATAAAATTATTATAAAGCAACACATTCTGTGAAAAAGTTCAGTGAACAAGAGTAAAATAAATACGGACGATTTTTCATATTCTTTTCTTCTCAAAGCTATTGCTAGAAATCTTGGTGCAATTTTCCATTCTGCATTTTTAGATTAGCTAATTTTTGCAAATAAAGGGCATCTAATTAAAGTTTATTAGATCAGATTCAGACAGTAATTAGGTCTACTAATGCGTCTGATTTGATTACTAGATGTCTCCGTGCTGCTCTTGGTCTGACCTGACCTGACCTCGTCTTTTGTGGCAGTTTAGCTTCCAATTTATGATTTTATTGGTTTATTTAAATAGTCGTAAACACACGGCACCATTCCACTTGTCAGACCCTTTACACTCCACTGATCTCTACAGCTCTCTGACATCTCAAGGTCCAGACTTAAAAACATAGAAGTGAAAGAAACATTTGGATGTTGGGCCCTGATCTGAGCAGCTCACACTGAATCTTACATTTCAGCTGGAAACCCACTGGTTTTCTTTGACTTTGACACATGGTTTACTTTGCTTTTGTTCAGGGAACTCATTTGATGTCCTAGCTAACAAAACTATTAATATTTTATTAGCAAATCTCTGAATTGAAACCATCCGTTTTCATTCCCAATTGTTTTCTCTTAGTGTGCAGAATTAGTAGGTTTAGTCAGACAAAGCTAAATGGTTACTGTGCTAACTCACATCATCATTTCACACTTTTCGATCTAATGTTTGGTTTTTCTCATTATTCCTCATTTTGCAAATCTGCAAAATCCTCACATGCCAATAATCCTAACGGATTTCTCTGACAGCGTCAAGTCGAACCTTGTTGCTGATAGAAGTCCTGCTGGTAGGGCGATTCGTACGGGGATGGCTGGATGTCCGCATATTTGATGGAGTCTAATTGTTCCTGCATGGGCACGTAGACCAAAGGCTCGTCTTTGCTCATGTCCATGTATCCTCCATCACTCTCACTTCCAAAGGACACATAGCTGCAAAAATACGTTAAAGTGGGAAAATAATAATCAAAAAACACCCGACTGACCCAGATCCAAACGAGCCTTTTGTAGTTGCTGATCACATGCAGCATCTGTAACAATCAGTTAAACAGATCTTTTTGAAAACAAAGGCAAAGATTTCTCGGAAAAAGTCCTCCATTTTCTATAAAATGTTCCTTTGTGCAGCTCTGAATGCATTTTCCTCACTCATCTCACCCTTTTCTCTGACTGAGAGGGGTGCTTCCTCTTGATATGAGGCAACCATCCTCCTGGTTCTTTTCAGCGTAGTACTGCAAGAAGGTGTGCTTGTTCCTGTGCAGGTAGTCCACCAGGTCACCATAGCGACAGTACTCGGTAATCAGGTAAAGGGGGCCTAAATCAAACATGAAGGATAAGGATTTAAAGACAAGCTAAATGTTGCAAATACTGTTAATCTCTGGAAATATCCCTCAAAATGTTGTTGAAAATGAATTAAATAACGCCCGACTGTTGAAAAATATTGGCGGCTTTGTAACATATAATCATAAAAATCTGGTCTAAAAAACACGAGAGCGGGTCTAAGTCTCTGGGCGACACCATAATAGGTGCCATGTTTCCTTCTACGGGAGCCTGTGAGGACAAAATGCATTTACTGATTTGTATCAAGCGGTTACAAATCTTTCACCATTCATAAACATTGTTGTTTTACACCTTAACCCTCTGGAGGCCGGCGTTGCAGATTTGCAACGTTAAAACCTACCTACCTGGTTACTCCACATACGTATTTAATGAGCATTTTTAAACTCAGAAGTACCCCCGAGGGACTTAGTTGTTTGTCCTTTTATCAAAACGTATTTTGAGCCTGAAAGGGTTAACTCTTCATTGTTGCCAGTGATGAAAGGGAGTTTGCTGTTCTTGTTATTTTGCTGGAGGTTGAGCTCCCAGGGATTTTTGACCCTAATGGCCATCCGTTGGTAAGGTCTTACTCAAACACAAAAATACTGCTTGCTTGCAGTAATTTAGGTATGTACTGCCCTCTATCAAAAGGGGAAATACACACTGTCACTTTAAAAACATAACATGCACATATGGAAATTTTATTTTTAATATAGTTTTCTGACAAAAATCATTAACTCTACCCCCTACAGGGAGAACTGCCTTGTGAGTTCTTATCTGTGGAAAAAAGTTCTGGCTCTCCTGTTTCATTATTATTCATGATATTGAAATATCTCACCTCTGATTGGCTAACAGCAATGCAACTCTTCCACTGACTCTGCTCGCTTTGCAAAGTTATGTTTAATCTCCGTAAAAAACACAAGCCTGAAGGAGTTCTGCTGTGTTGGGGAGTTGCTAATGCTAACGGTTAGCAAGTAACGGTCTCATGGAATGAGTTATGAAGGAATGATTGTTCCTTCTTGGCAGAGGTGAGGATGTTATAGAATTAGGGAAAGTCTGGTTGGGGTCTCAACAGGAGCTGATCAAGGGTTCAGTAATTCCATCAGCTACTTTATGGAGGGCAAGATGTGCCCTGCTAATCAGATCCAACAATCTTTCTTCCTAAGCTACAAATTAATGAGCCAAAACATTTGATTTGGCTGTAACATTTCACTTAGGAGTGCTGTGCTTACCGTTAGTATAATGAAACATAAATCAGTGAGTTCACATTGGCTGTGTTAACATGGTGTCCAGTGTTAAAACATCAACATTTCTATTATTTTTATAATTTCATCTCTGTAACACGGTTGTTTCCATTTCTTACAAGAAATCATAACTTTCTTGTTTACACAATTATTCACTTAGTGCAAATACGATCAATGCGGTTTAATCAGATGAGAAGAAAATGTGCCGGAAAAGTCATCTTTAACCAGTTATCAATCAAATTTAGTGGATTTTTCATCCAAATGTAACAGAAATATTTATCATTTCAACCTACTGAACAAACAGGAAAATGCAGAAATAATTGCTACAGAGTAATCTTTGCTGTAATTTTTAATATATATTTTTACGTGAACCACGTGTGTGTGCGTGTGTGTGTGTGTGTGTGTGTGTGTGTGTGTGTGTGCGTGTGTGCGTGCATGTGTGTGTGTGTGTGTGTGTGTGTGTGTGTGTGTGTGTGTGTGTGTGTGTTGGTGATAAAGCTTCGTGGGATGCCCACCGTGTTTGGTGCACGCCCCCAGCAGGTTGACGATGTTGAGGTGAGGACCGAGGTGACTCATGATCTTCAGCTCTGACATCAGAGCCTGAGTCTCACTCCTCCTGGCTGTAGCTGGACGAGGGCAGAGGAAAGAACACGTGTTAACCTGAACGTGATGTGAGAACAGCAACACGAGTACAGCGAGCAGGAGAAAAACGGTGTTCCTGCCAGAAAACGTCAAAAGAAACTTGAATCAGGCTGTCAGACCAGCTGAAGCTCAGCAGACTGCTGCTGGGAGACAGCGTCAGAGAGCGTGCAGGAGGCTGCTGTTGCCTGATATCTTGCATGTGAAGCTTTTATTGTACATTGTGTTTCTTACATTTCAGCATTTTCACAGCCACCTTTGTGCTGGACTGGGAATGTGTGAGACCGTATGCAGTAGCCTCGACCACCCTGCCAAAAGCTCCTGATCCAAGAGTTCGACCTGAAACACAAAGAGGGCCTCAGTGGGACACGGTGTGAAATCTGAGAAAGAAGCAAACACTTCTCCCCATTAGAACATAAGTGAGAGGGATTCGACTTATTATTTTGAAGGACACTAATATAAAAACTTGCTTTGGCAGATTCAGAAAATAAATATGTCAAGAGCTTCGAGACAGTTTGTATGAGAGAAAATAACAAAACGCATGAAAAGGAGCTTTTAGCTAAACTGGGACTGAGTCCAGTTTAAAAAGTATTCATTAGGGATTCCGTGTGCAGACAACCAACCACTCGCAGTACAAAAGCCTCATGGGGATGGATCCAGTTTAAACAGTTTGTCCTCATCTGGGTGACGGATAAGAGCCTGCTCAGAGTCAGACACTCAGAAATAAACCACAACTGATCGATTATAGGAACCATCGACCCTTTACCCAATAACATGGTAGAGCACACTGCGGTATAATAATAATAATAATAATAATAATAATAATAATTGTAAGGTCATTTTGTATTGAATAATAAAAAAAATAAAAAAGGCAGCTTCTAAGAAGAGATTATTTCTGCTGATCATGGGTCATAAATATCCTGTAACTGCCATAGCTATGATCAGATTAGTCAGCATCAATAGGCCTTTTCTTTAAATAAACCACAGCTGTAACAAGTGTGGAAGCTGGGTAAAAGCAACAAGAATTCAGAGGATGGTCATTTTCCTTCCACTTTATAAAAATGAAGAGTTCATTTGCAAAAACAGATCCTGTTTTTATAACATTTTCAAAGCTCGTATCTTTCTATTATCATTTAAAACAAAGTTATTTTTAATGAAAAATGGCGTGAATCAGTTTTTCACATGTAGGAAATAAAGTTTAAGCATTATTTTTGGTTAAAATGTAAAAAAAAAACAACTAAACATTTTCTTTAACTTTGTGCCTTTGTGATTTGTTTATTTTCTGTTTTCTTAACATTAAAATAAACACAAACAGGTCTTTCCAACTCCTGGTACATCACACTCACCCAGGACCAGGTTGTCTCTGGGCATCTCCCAGGCCAGGTCGTAGGGCAGGTGGATGGGATCCACGTAGATGTACTCATGTCCGTCCACACTCACGGACTCAATCACCTTCCATCGGATCTCATAGCGTGGTTTCTGTTAGCACGGGTGAAGAGGACAACAAGGAGCCATGACGAAGAAGGAATAATTTTGATCTGTTTGTTTTTGTGTGATGAGGAGTGTCTTACCTTCCTCCACACAGCGACAAGGATGATGATGGACAAGATAATGATTACCACTAAGGCTAAAACAGCAGCCAACACTGCCACCTGGGAGAACAAGGCTGCCACAGACACCAGAGACAGAAAAGATCACTACATTTGAAAAACTTTATGTTTGTGCATCAGTCAGCTCTGCATCCGTCTGTCTGTGGTTTACGGAGAATTAACCAATTAAGGGGATCAAAAACTATTAACCAAATGTAAACACAGGATTACACATTTTCTTTAAAACGTAGCTGATCTGATATCTGTGGTACAAACATGATAGCCTTTATATATATTGTACATAGACAGATTTTACTGACAAAAACGTATCTGAAGATGGAAAGTTTTAGCCCAACATCAAAGAGTCAATTAAAAATGCCACCAGGGGCTGAATATTCAGCTTAGAAACACATGTATAAACGTATTATAAAAATGCATTTCCTAATCTTCAGGTGTTCCTTATCTAAGTGTAAATGACACATAAAAGGTCTGACATCTTGTGGCACTTACTGCTGGACACCAGTTTGACATCCCTCCTGCTGACCAGTCCGGCTCGGTTGGTGGTCTCACAGCGAACGGTGAAGTGCTGAGGCTTGAGGAAGACCATCTTGCTGCGCACCTGGATGATTTTATGAGTCTCATTGTAGCTGGCGTTGGTCTGGATGCTCAGCTCCTCCGGTCGCGGGGTCAGCGGCTGCCACACAGCAGACTGGTTGTTGCACCTGAAGCGGGACACCGGGTGAGATGGGAACAGCTGCAGCAGCAGTGGAGCCCTCTTGTGTTCTCAGGGGGTGTGTGACTCACTTCAGCATGCTGTCACAGCTGTACCACTGTATGATGGGAGCTGGAAACCCCTCTGCTACACAGGTCACCAAGTGTCCCTGCCCTGGGAGGTGGTGGTCGGTCAGGTCTTTAATCTGAGCTGGAACTGCAAACATGGAGGCGGAGGCTTTAATCATGACTGAGTTTGCCTTCAAACGCTACTTTAAAAACATGTTTGTGGAGAAAAAAACAACAAAAATGTGTCAAATATTTAAATATTCTAGAGTTTGTGAGAACTTTTTCACACCTTGGACCTCCAAGTCAAAGACAACCTGCTTCGTGTCGTCTCCGTTGGTAACGAGGACAGCGTAGAGGCCTTTCTGCTCCGCCCTCACCCTCACCAAGGTGAGAATGGTGAGATACCTGAGGCAAAAGCCAAATGAACAAGCTGTCAGGAAAATAAAAACAATCATCGATCTTTCAGGAGTTTCTTGGGTTTGATTAGATTAACTTCTGTCTGGAGCTAAATGTCCACAGGTTCAACGTTTTGTTAGAACCTCCATCAGAGAGGCTCTCAGGGACTACGGAAAAACGTCTCTTATGGGAATGTTTAGATAAAAATTTGAAATATGGTATGTTGTTTTCCAATCATTTCTAACATGAATGATTAACCTACATGAATAATTTGTAAAAATTAGAAAAAATAAAAGAAAAAATAAAAAAGAAAAGAAAGAAGAAAAACACCATTAATAGGACAAACACGTCTCAATAATCAAACATGATCTTCTGACGATTTCAGCCAAAAGCAGAACTGTTGGACTGGAACTTTTCTGATTTACTGATTGATTCGAGGCTTTTCAACAATGAACTTTTAAAATCCCATTTAATTCGATCGTTTTGGTTGAAAAGGCAAGAGCCCAGGCTTTGTTGAGCGTTTGAGGGTCATTAGGGAGTTGTGATAGGTATTTAGTGTTTATGGTTCCTGTGCGCTGAAAGATGGCTTCCTTCCCTCTGGAGAGGATTGGATTTCTCTCTGTGGAGGTCTCATCTGGTGGTGACGGACAGATCGCCTCTGGAGGCTCCTGGACTGTCCAAAGTTTTTGATAATTCTTTAAATATAAGGAGGCATTTAGATGAGCTGTTCCACCTTATTTCATGCTCTTGTCTGGTGAGGATGGCTGTGTCTCCCTTGATGGCGGTGCCGTCTTTGGTCCAGAGAATCTGAGGAGGAGGGTAGGCCTCGATGTCCACCCTCAGCTCCACGTTCTCCTGGAGCTTGGCTGAGATCCTCTGATGCTGCATGGGCTTCATGTCCACAAAACCGTGTTCTGAGAAGAAAACAAGCCTTTGTAAAGCATTTTCTATTTAATCTTTTAAGTATTTCTTGCATGTCTGTTTTTCTATTCTAGTCAGAAACATGCAAACAGTGCACGTCTGCAGGAATGAACCACTGCTCACGTGTAGTGCATCTGTGTTTAAATTAAAACATTTAGCAAACTGGGAATGTGCTTTAGTGAGGGCATTTCTTCTGTTTCAGCTCTGAAATATGTTCCATAGTCACAAAATCATCTACATTTGCTGGTTTTATATAAATGTTTTATGAAACTTTTGTTATTTGCAGTATGTTTTCTTTCTTATTTCATCCAGTAACTGTAATTCTAAACCTGCCAGTGAGCTTAAAGTTGGCATAACAACACGACAACCTACAAATAGTTAATTTTAATGTATTTTAAATAAAATTAGAAAAAGATGTTGATTTATTTTTCTGAGTGATATCTTAGCTGACATCAGCAACAATCAGATAATCAGAATATTTATATTGAGTTGCAGGATAAGCTTTCCTTTAGAGTTGTGGTATTTTTTGTGCATGCACAGGCCCTTCTCAAAAAAATTAGCATATTGTGATAAAGTTCGTTATTTTCTGTAATGTACTGATAAACATTAGACTTTCATATATATTAGATTCACTACACACAACTGAAGTAGTCCAAGCCTTTTATTGTTTCTAATATTGATGATTTTAGCATACAGCTCATGAAAACCCAAAATTCCCATCTCAAAAAATTAGCACATCATGAAAAGGTTCTCTAAACGAGCTATTAACCTAATCATCTGAATCAACTAATTAACTCTAAACACCTGCAAAAGATTCCTGAGGCTTTTAAAAACTCCCAGCCTGGTTCATTACTCAAAACCGCAATCATGGGTAAGACTGCCGACCTGAATGCTGTCCAGAAGGCCATCATTGACACCCTCAAGCAAGAGGGTAAGACACAGAAAGAACTTTCTGAATGAATCGGCTGTTCCCAGAGTGCTGTATCAAGGCACCTCAGTGGGAAGGAAAAAGTGTGGCAGAAAACGCTGCACAACACGAAGAGGTGACCGTCCGGACCCTGAGGAAGATTGTGGAGAAGGACCGATTCCAGACCTTAGGGGACCTGCGGAAGCAGTGGACTGAGTCTGGAGTAGAAACATCCAGAGCCACCGTGTACAGGCGTGTGCAGGAGATGGGCTAAGGTGCCGCATTCCCCAAGCCCCCAGGAAAGTGTTTATCCTCTCAGGTTCTGTTCACTTCTTCTGGCCAGAAATGTTGTGAGAAGAAAACAGTGGAGAATTTTTTGTTGAGTCTGACCAAAATTATTCCCACAATCTTCTCTTAACGAGCGGGATGTGATATGCCTAATAAAAACATTTAATATGTGTGTAATGCTTTTATATATGCAAAGTTTGACATTAATCAAACTCATCTGGCCTCCGCGTTGGGTGGCAGACCTGTCTATTAGACAAAACTAACAACAACCCTGGTCTCCTGTTTCCATCCAACATGGAGGTTTGAGTTATTTAAAGGTCTTTTAAAACATAACACACCTCGCTGCAGATGGAGTAAGCAAACACACCCCCAACGTGCATGCAGGGGTGGACGTAGCACGAGAAAAAACAAGTTCAGTCAGAGGAATCCTGTTTTTATTGGCTCCAAGTCCTGTGTTGTAAATTTATATGAGTTTCTGTTTAAAGAAAATTCCCAGAAACACAAACACATCCTCACCTAAAGTCTAAATATAGAGCTGCTGCTCCCTCTGATTTGCAGGTGTGAGCTTCAAGGTAATCACTCGGGGGTTTCACGCTGGGGCCGAAGTTTATTTGACATAATCCGCAGAAACAAATTAAACGGGTTTTCATTTCCTCTAAACAGCCCTTCTCCTGCTTTAATATCCCAGTGTTAACATAAGTCGGTCAGCCAAACCCAATAATAATCTTCAGAGAATCAGTTTGTTTTAGCTGTGTGTGTTTGTGTGTGTGTGTGTGTGTGTGTGTGTGTGTGCGCGTGTGTGTGTGTGTGTGTCTAACCGAGCACGGTGATGTGGATGCTGGCAGAAGCTGTGTGTCCTACAACACTTTCAATGACGTGGCATTCGTACGTGCCGCTATGAGCTACGGTGACTTGAGGGAAGAGGAGCCAGGAGCGCATGATGGCGATGGGCAGGTACTCCATCTGAGGCTCAACCTCCATGAGCTAAAGGAGAGAGGGAAACCAGAAGGATCAAATTTACACAAGTTAGCTTTGTGGGGTCATTTTTAATCTGTAAAATAGTTTTAGGTGCAATCTTTGTTTGAATCCTGCGTTAGCAATAAAGTTTAATTGTTTAATTTGCCTTTTAACAGATGATTTCAACAGTGAATAAAAAACACAAGGTTCCCCTATAACAGACATCGGAAGAAACAGGTCACTCTCCACTCCTGATGTTGTGAAAGCATTTACACAGCAGGATCGAGGTGTGTCTTCACATCTTGATGCACTTTGGGTTTGGTCAGGAGGCCGCACAGGGATCACAAAAACAACAACACAAGGAGAAAGCTGAAACAAAAGCTCTTGTTCTGCTCCGCTCCCACTCACCTCCCTGTTGGGAAAATCCCATGAAAAATCTGCCAGCTCCACTCCGTGCACTGTGCAGTTTATAGTCAGCGCTTCGCCCTGCTTCAGCACCGTCTTTGTGGCGTTGATGTAGGGGTCGATGGTCTTGGGGACTGGAAGGAGAGACGAGGGTGACGGAGAGGAGGGGAGAGCATGGATTTAACAAATCACAGGGGCAACAAGCTGACCTCAGTCATCATTAATCAGTTAATTGCACAAAAGCAAACGTTAAAAACAACATTTGAATCTAACAAGTCAGAGCTACATTTGACCTTTGACCTCTTTGGTTCAATCTCTTTAAAAGTACTACAACATAATAAATAGCGATTGTTACAAAGGAAATAACTCTGGTACTAAATCTTGCCGTTTCTTCTCTTATGAGTTATTTCTTTTGGGTTTTTGGGCTCAGACTGAATAAATCTGAACTGCCTGACCTGGAAACTTACCAGTAATGCTGAAGACGTTAAAATTCTGAGACTCTCTCACTTCCCCGTTCAGTTCTCCCCGACACACGTACATCCTGTCCTCAAGCGCCACCTTGAACCCCTCTCCAGGAACATACAGGCCTCTGATTGGCCAGCCGCTGTCCTGTTGGTGGAGCGTGACGGTGATGTTTGGGTTGGTGACCACACAGGGGATGGTGCTTTCCTCACTGGTCTTTGCTACCGCGCCGTGGTGACTGATGAACCACACCTCAGGATCTGCAGCGAGACGTGAGTTTGCTCATTAGCTGTCAGAAAGCATTTAGGAATATTAAGATATTACAAGCAGAACTCACCAGGGACAAACACAACCGCCTCTTTGGTTTCCCCTGTGATCACATCAGTGCACTGGTACACACCAGTGTGCCTCCAGCTCACACTCCGCAGAGTCAGAACACTGGACGTCAGATTTTTCTGCGCAATTTTGTAAATCTGTCGTCCGTATTCATCTCCCTCTCTTAGACGCTGACTCAGATCGTCTGTCTTAAACGCCCAGGTTGCCTCCCTGGATCCGGAGCAGGTTAGGCTGAGAGTGGAGCCTCGATTCAGGACGAACGCTTTGCCATCAGGTTTGATCTCCAGGCTGCTAACTTCAGCGCAGAAAAGCACCAAAGCTGCAGTTTACGCAACAAAATAGGAGGTCAGCATGGAGGGGCTCAAATACATGGTGCAACGAGTTCAGAGGTCAAGTCAACAGTGTAAGTCAGATCCTGGTCTATCTCCACCCGGTGATGGATACAAGCTGTCTGGAGCAGATGAGTAGGAGGATGAGGACGGCTATTCAGTGACAGATGGATTAAAAATCACTCAGAATGCGTCATTTATCCTTCACATCAAAGCGTTTGTTTTCTCACAGCTGATCTACAGTCTATGTGCTGAGGTCAAAATTCAGCTCATCAAATTACACTTTAAATACTTTTCCATTAATTAAAGGAAATAATCTGTGATTATAAAATATGTGATTAAAATGTATGTATTGTTTCACTGTCTGTTTAATTTGAGAATAAACATTAAAGGGGACATATTATGCAACTTTTGTGCTGCCATGTGGGTCTCTGTCACCTCTATAAACACTCCAAACATAGAAATAGCCCGTTCATCCATTTTCTCAGTGTTTGGTTTTAGCAACTATGTGCTAAATCAAGCTGTTTCAAAAAGTCTCTGTGTGTGAAATCAGAAATAGCAAAAGTAGTGGAACGTAAGTTAACGAACAACGCTCAAAGAGAATAAGAAAATAAAATATGAGGGAGAAGATGTGCGGTTACATGTTTTTTTTTTCCGGGAAAGACAACTCTACACACGCTCAACCTATTTAATCTGAATGAATGCTTGGTGTAAGTATACTCACGGCATGATCGGATAATTTCAGTTAGTGTCCATATGAACAGAGATTTGAGATTTCCGATCAACCTAGATTTGAATCGGATTGGGGAAACTTGGAGCACGTAAACGTAGCTATACACCCATTCACACGCTGGTGGGGATGAGCTACGATGTAGCCACAGCTGCCCTGAGGACCACTGACAAGGGCGAGGCCTGCCGAACACAGGCGCCATCTATTCTCTGACCACTACCAGCACACAAGGCGGGTTAAGCTTCTTCGCCAAGGACACAACAGCAGCAATCTCTGGTGAGAGTCGGAATCGAACCTGCTACCTTCCAATTAATGGACAACCCGCTCTTCCTCCTGAGCTACTGCTGCCCCTACGAAATAAAGTGAAAGCGCCCTGAAACGGCTCATTCTGGAAGGTTCTGAAAACGTCAAGAATAAACAGCTGAGTTAGCTTTATGTGAGAGGGATTTTATGCAAAAAACTCAATAAACTTATTTTTATTGACCACAGAACTATTTAAAATTTATGAAAAAGGTAATAATATGTCCCCTTTAACTGCATTAATTTGCCTTAAAAGTACTGAAAACAGGTCTTGCTCTCCTGCAAGACAAACCCCTCATTTTCACTTGTTGCTAGATTGGACTGTAACCCTCACCTGTGAATGTAACTGTCCGCTGGAGCACGGATGCTGTCACCCTCCTCATTGTGGCTGCCTGATGACCACCTTGTTCTGCAAACAGAAATCAGAGAAATCCCACGAGTCATTTTGGTAAATTACTGACCCTCACGCTGTAAATGATTGCTAAAACGCAGGTCGTGTGACATTAAGTCAAAACTGGTAACAGATGTCAGTCAAAGTGAGCAAAACAAAAGAAGAAACATATTTTTGCCCACTGAAAATAAAACAAAACACCCTAAATGACAGACCTAGTGTTTCTTGAAGGAGGTATAATTGATAATTGGTAAAAGCTTGAAAACAATCCTACATGTAATCTCATGCTACGTCTCACACAGTCGGTGTCTATTATGAATGACTCTCAGCTACTTCCACACCAAGTTCACACCTGTAACTACAAAGCTGATGGAGTTGTAGCCATTTTTTCATGAGTCATGGTTGTGCAGCTGCGCTGGTGGCCTCTCTCAGTGGTAGATTGATGATCAGCAAATACTTTCTGATAGTTTCACTAAAATCCATCCAGTGGTTCAAGAGACATTTTGTTAAGATCACAAATCATTTGCCAAAGAAAGCTGCTCGCTTTCTGTCTCAGCGCAGATGCAGCTGAGCTCTGGTGGTATTTGATGCCTCGCTGCACCGGGACACAGCAACAATGTCCCACGTCTTTGTGTTGCTGGTTCACCACCACTCTGCCCACTAACAAACGGGTCACTGTGTGCAGCTTTACAGCACGCTCACTGGCAACAATGCTGCGTCCAAGCTATTCTCCGGCCACGCTGAGCCATTAATTGGCTTTTGGGGTAAACAAAAAGTGAAAACTAAGGCATTCACTCTGACAGGAGGGCAATTCTGAAAGGTTGCCATGGGTTTTGCAAGACTTCTCATGTGCGCTGATGCAAATACAAAAGCTAAGAGGACCTGATTCAGTGGAGTTCGTCACCATCTCATCTCTGACTTTAACTACTAACTTCATGGTGGTGCAGAGGCCAGAGGAGATGGAAGAGGAGGGGTTTGTTGTTATATTTGGAGGGGGGGGGGGGGGGGTTTCGGCCTGAAACATGCAGACGTCTGGAAACAGTTAAGGATGGATCACAGGCCTGTACACAAGTGGGTGGGAAAGAAAGAGGGTGGAAGAGTGAGTCTTGAGAAGAGCGCGGGTGGAGGAGGAAGAGCGTGAGCCAGTGGAAAATAAATTGTGAAATGTTTCTCGAGAAATATTTCCCAATTTAACGTTTCACGTTTTTTCTTACCTCATACTTCTATTTTAGGATTCAGGATTATTTTAGTGCATTTATATAATAAATCAGACAGTTTTAGATGTGGTCAGCATCTTAACCCAGATCTGACTGCTGAACAGTCTCTAAAGCTCCACTTTTTAGGAGGTGTTAAATAATTTCATGGCTTTGTCATCACATATGAAACTGTGAAAGACATCTTGGGAGTAAAGTCGGTTATTCAAACCAGACCTCCCTAAATTAACTGCCTTTGGCACTTCCGCTCCCAAATCGAAGAGCTCAAAGGTTCTGAGCAGCTCCAAAAACAAGAGTGGTCCATTTCCTCCCCCGCCTCCTGGTTCTAATAACGAGAGGTGACGCGGAGACAGATGAATCCTGAGCAGGAACTTTTATTTTCACTGCGATGTCGATGTTGATGCAAACCTAAACATTCTCACTGAGAGATAATCCATTCTGCTCACACACACATCACAGCCCACATACCCCCTTCTCAACACACACACACACACACACACACACACACACACACACACACACACACACACACACACACACACACACACACACACACACACACACACACACACACACACACACACACACACACACCTCTCCTTCCCTTTCTGTCACTGATCTCAGAGTACAGTTCACGTTCCCACAGTTTTAATCTGAAACTTTCCCAGGACCGCCGATACACTCGGGACTTTGCTGGTGATGACGGCCAGAGCAGAGGGGTCACCTCATCCCTGGGGGCCCCGGCAGCGAGTCACCCGGGCCCGTTCAGCGAGGAAGCCATTCATCAGCGCTCAGCTAAAGACTGTATCCTCAGTGTCAGTGAGGAGGACAACAGAATTCGATGGGGCTGAAGGCAAAAGTTGTTTGGCATCATGAACGCTAACCAATCATTAATTAAGTTGTATTTTGGATGAAGAATGTGCTCTGATAAGAGGATTACATCTAAGACTAAAGGGTTAAAAATAAATTCTTATCTGACAAAATTCTGAAACTCTGAAATGAACGGAAAAATTATGTTTAGCTTCTGCAACATGAAGGTTCATGTTGACCAATGGACAGCGTGTGTGGTGGTGTTGGTGGTGGTGGTGGTGACCTAAAACTTGAGCTTTCATGAATTATACGATAAATACAGCTAGAAAAACAATGTGGTAACACTTTACAATAGGGCTTCATTAATTAATGTTACTTAGTACATTATTAGACATTAATAAACTATTAACTAAAGTACTGACAACTGCTTAATATTAATGTAAATATGAAGTAATGTATTACTGAGCAGCCCTCCCACTGGCCCTTTGTCCTAGCCTCAAGGACGCAAATAGTTAACAATATTAGGAATGTTAATGAAGGGATCTTTTGTTTATTAATGCTTAATAATGCACTAAGTGATGTTAAAAAATGGACCCATATTGTAAATTGTTACCAATAATGCTATTAGGTTAATAGCTTAACTTTTGTAATGAACTAAGCCAATGGTGTCCAGTTCACTGTCCTGCATGTTTCTGTTGTTTCCTGACTGAGTGGTGGGATTGGTCATCAAGTTCTGCAGAAGCCTGCTAATCACCCGTTAAGATTAGGATTTAGGTTAGGTGTGCTGAAGTAATCCTTAAAACATGCAGACTGGTGGATTGGACACTACTGGTGTAATTACAAAATATTAGGTTTTGACGTGTATAAATGCTGTATGATGTGTGAAGGTAACATCAATGAAAATGGCTCACTTTGGTTACTATGGTAACCACACACCTATGGGCCCTGCTCTCTCTGCCCCCAACACTAATCCAGATATTATTAAAAACTGACTTTTTAAGTTTCTCAGTTTGTATCGTCTGTTTACAAAAGGCCAGAGCTGGAGGGATACTTGAGTGTTGTTGGTGAAGATACTTTCATAAACAGGAAAGAGTATCTGTAGTTTTTAGGACAGGGCCTTAAAGTTAGAGGTGGACAGAGACGGTAAAGAGAAGAAAGTTAGTCCTAAACAAACAGTGACTATCAAAGCTAATGGTTTTGCTAATGCTCTAAGACGAGATCAAGAGGGGACCAGGCCTTCTCAGTGATGGCACCAGTCCTTTGGAACGAGCTCCCTCTGGCAGAATCCATCTTCTCAGGTGTTTAATGGCAGTTTCACATCTGGGCCAGCACGGCCCAGGCTGAGTAGCATATAAAATGTTCACATCTAGGTAGCCTTGTATTTTTTCTCAAACCAAGGTGGTCTGCTTCAGGCTAAACTGCTCCAACACACCCACTGAAGAAGAAGAAGAAGAAGAAGAAGAAGAAGAAGAAGAAGAAGAAGAAGAAGAAGAAGAAGAAGAAGAAGAATGAGCGCCTCTCAAGATAAAAATCACTAGGCGCTTCACAAAAACAAAAAAATGTAAAAATATAAAAAGCATTTACAAAATGTTTAAAAATATATATGAAATGAGCAAAAATAGACAATTTTGATTAAAAAAATGTTAAGAAAGAGAGAAAGAATTGGTAAAGATGGAAATCAGTGGATCCTGAGGAAGGTGGAATAGGTGGGGAGAGCAGAATAAAGAGAGAATGGTGAAGAAGGTCATACAAAAGCCAGCTTGATCAAGTGTCTTCAGCTGCTTTTTAAAGGAGATCACTGAGTCCACTGATCTCAGGCTCAGGGGGAGAGAGGTCCAGAGTCTGGGGGCCACAGCAGCAAATGATCTGTCACCTTTGGTCTTTAGCCTGGTGCTGCACAACCAGTAGGCTTTGATCACTGGACCTCAGGGACCTGCTGGGGGTGTAGGGTCTAAGAAGATCACCAAGGTAAGATGGTGCTTGTCCATGTAAGGCCCTATAGAACAGAACCAGGATCTTGAAATGAACCCTGAAGTTGACTGGCAGCCAATGAAGCTGGAGGAGAAGCGGGGTGATGTGGGTGTGTTTGGAGGACTTGGTCAGAAGCCGAGCACAGGCATTCTGAACCACCTGTAGACGGTTCAGGGAAGTTCTGCTCAGACACGTGAAAAGAGAGTTGCAGTAGTCTTATGGGCCATTCCCATCTGTACCGGGTCGGCCCGGGACAGAACGGGACTCAGCTTAGCAATGTTCCTGAGATGGAAGAAGGAAGAGTGAAGCAGAGAACTGACATGACAATCCAGGGTGAGAGCTGGGTCAAAGGTCACACCAAGATTCCTGACAAAGGGTTTGGTGTGGGAAGCAAGCTGACCAAGAGAGTCTCTGACTTTGGGAACCAGCTTGTCTGGGGCACAGATGAGGATCTCAGTCTTATCTTCATTCAGCTGAAGAAAGCTCCCAGCCATCCAGGTTTTGATAGAGTCTAAGCAGGTGTGTAACAGCTGCAGCTTAGACATCTCATGGGGCTTAAAGGAGATGTACAGTTGGCTGTCATCTGCATAAAGATGGTAGGAGATTCCTTTGAAGGAGCTCAGGATGTGCTGAAGAGGAAGCAGATAGAGGAGGAAGAGCAGAGGCCCCAGCACAGAACCTTGTGGGACACCATGGGTATGGGAGGTGGTGGAGGACCTAAACTTGGAGACGGCCACAGAAAAGGAGCGCTCAGAGAGATAAGAGGAGAACCACTCCAGAGCAGATCCTGATAGGCCTACCCAGTCTCTCAGCCTCTCCAGTAGCAGGTGATGGTCAACAGTGTCAAAGGCTGCAGTCAGGTCCAGCAGGACCAGAACAGAACAGTCCCCTGCATCACTGTGAGTCAGAAGGTCATTAGAGACCCTAAGAAGAGCTGTTTCAGTAGAATGAGCTCTACGAAAAGAGCAGCTGTGAGTTGTTTAGCCACAACCTTTTCCAAGATCTTGGAGATGAACAGAAGTT